AGAGAGAGACCTCATCTAGGGAATGCATTTGGAAATTTGGTGGGACCTTCTAGGCTTTGAAGGTCAAAAACAGCTGCTTCGTGGGCCCAGAAATAAATTGACTGCCAGCAGAGAGGTTTCAGAACAGCTGATACAAGCAGGTTGACCCACACCCCACGACAGCTGGGAGGCCCAATTTCACACCAGCCTAAATTTAAAAATCTTCAAAGGTAACCTCTGTGTGAATAGTTTAAAAACCCCTTTATGTGAATCTCCTTCCAAGGCAGCTTCATAAAGCTTTGAGTTGTAAGCTGTTAAGAATTCACTGAAGTCGGTCACTGAAGACAAGCTTTGCCATTTTGTTTTGTTTTGTTTTATTCATATTTTTCCTCCAAAGAGTCTGAAGATAATCCTGTGGTGCCCTAAATCTTAGAGGGACTCACTGAGAAACATTAATAAAATGTTTATTTTTTTTTATCTCCCCAAGGTTGTTGAGTTAAGCCAGTTCTCCTCAAAGTACTTTATTCTTGGACGGATCCTTCTGTCTTTGGGTTCTCGCCTTGGTGTGAGAACTGAGAGTCTATCTTGGAAAAATGGGTAGTGGGTAAAGTAGATCAGGGGTGGGGAGCCAGGGTTTTTCCAGATGCTTTACTACAGTACCCATTGTGCTTCACTGTTGTCCAGGGTGGGAATTGGGATCCATTCCATGACTCATTGACAGCCCTATTTCCCCCACTCTGAATTAGAGATGCCCCACCGTGCTTCAGTCAAGCTGTGGAAAAGGAATATCCTTTTGACTGGAAGCTAACGTTACACAGAGACTATATATCTCAGCAGCTGGACTGAGAGGGTGGACCCTCCCCATGGAAATCTGTATTTGAAGCAATGGGAAAGCTCTCTTTTTCAGTGTCCTCTGCTCCTTGCTGCTAACTCGAGTCTTCTCGAGAATCCAGAGTCTGAACAAACCAAGTATCTAAACAGATTATACGCAATGTTGCCTGAGTAGCCCATGCCTGGGCAGCCATAATAACACAATGGAGGCAATGCAATCAAAACAGTATGTGGCTGTCCCAGAGGATAACCATTCTCTTGGAACCACAGGAATCACTGTAAAGAGCATCTCTTGAGTCCTTTGTTTTCTTCTGTGCTTTGACACTAGTAACATAGCTGGCTTTTCAAAGGCATGAAAACCCATCACTCATTAGAATGTGGCATTTGCCTCAGGCATCAGGTTCGTGAGTATCGCAAAATTAAGAGTTACGGAAGATTTTAGTTTAATTTTCCTCCCCTGCACTTCTACTGCCAAGAAAAGGCAAAGGTGCTTGTGAGAACAGCCTGGGGTGTGTGTGTGTTTTGAAGGGGGGGGGTCTACCTCTATGCAGAGGAGAAGGCACCTTTTGCTGCTCCACCTGAGCCAGCCATAGTTATGCGGTTGGACAAGACATGACAGGGTTGGACTTGATGGCCCTCGGGTCCCTCCCAGCCCCACCGTTTTAGGAAATCCCCGCAAGGTAGGTGAGGATGAGATGGGCTCAGAGTCCATCTCGAGTGCATTTCATGGCCAAGTGGGGATTCAAGTCCGACTCCTTGTCCAATATGCTGAGTAACTACACCATGCTGTGTTTGTTCCATGGCCCACCTAAGGGTTGTGGGACAATCAAGAAAGTCTGTCTGTTGCTCAAGCATGAGGGTGGGCCAGCACACTTTCTGCTTTTCCGATTAAAGCTGCAATGTTTAATGTTCAGGCACAGAGTTGATAGCAACCATCCACTCCTCACCTTTCGTTGTGCTGGTTATAGCTGCTGGGGCTTGTAGTCCAGCAAAATCTGCAGGAACACAAGTTGCTTACCAGTGATTTCATGGATAGATTGATGCTTGATATATTAATTAGCATTTAAACCATAAGCTGATTAACTAAGGGTGGCCAACGCCTTTATGGGTGCCATTTCTCCTTTCCCTGCACTTCCCCCGATGGACCACACGATGGCGGCCGTACTCCACCGGTACCCGGAGAAGCAAGATAGGCTCGAAAGAAGTTCTTGGGAAGTTAGAGCTGCTCTCCTTTACCACAAAAGACCACGTAATAAGAGGCGACGTGCACGCTGGGGTCCGTTTAGGCCTTTAGGGCATATCCTTCAGAATGCTTCATAATTGGGAAGCCTTTTTATAAAGTCTTCAGTTACCACCTTTTTTATTTTGTGCTTCCGGTTCTTTACCTTAAAGAGTCTCTGATCTTTGGACTTCAGCCGCCCTAAGCTTTGGTCGTGCTAGGAAAGGATAACCCTTTGCCCACCTCCCGGGATAAGGCAGAGGCTCTCCAGATATTTTAGATTTCCACTCTCCGAAGCCTCAGCCTAAAGGCTTGGCCCAAAGGTCTGGGATGATGAGCAAAGGAGCCCAAAATGCCTTGGAAGGTGGAGAACCTTCGTTGTCAAGGATTCTGAATTATTTTCAGAGAGTGTGCTCGCTAGACCATTCTCACCCCTGAACAAACAAATCACCTGCCCCCATCAGGAGAGGTGCTGTTGCTGAAGAGAGAGGAGGGAGATTTACTTGGCACTGCTCCACCAATGGATGAGAAGCTGTCTCGGCTCCAATGCCCGGGAGAAGTTGCTTGTTATTGGGGGCCATCATTCAAGGGCTGATCAGTTAGTTCACAACTGGGCCTCCAGGAAAAACATCATGGGATGGGGATTCAACTATGCAGTCGTGCTGATATTTCACTTTTTCTGGTTGTCTCCAGGCAGGCAGCATTAAGAACAACATACCTTCACAAACACAGACAAGTCCTTCTCAGCTATTCCGGTGGGAGTGTTTTGTTTTGTTTTGGTTTTTACTGGCCAAGTGTGCTTCAGGGACCTCAGAGAGCCAAGGACTGGTTTAGTTTAACCAACTGGCCTCTCACACTTCAGACATGGTGATCAGGTTATTTTTGACACATTGAATTCCCAAGATCAACAGCTGCCTAGAACGATTGGGGAGGGGGGGTACTGTGTCTTTTTGCAGACAGGTTCTGTTCCATAGCTGCCTTTCTTTCATTTTCCAAGGTACCAGACATTACCTTCGGCTTTGCCAAGGGCTGCCTCACCCTCCACACAAGTGCTAGGAAAGAGCAGAGCAGAGCAGAGGCGGAGGACATATGGTCCTCTGGCTAGTGTTGAACTACAATGTCCATCATTCCTCACTGCTGGCTGTGTGGGCTAGGGCTGATGGAAGGGGCTGCAGACACACAATGTCAATTTAGGGCATGAGTACTTTCACCTGCTAAATCATGCACAGATATGTACCCCTTTTAACTAGCACTGGCTTTGGTGGCCAGGCTGAAAACTCGAGAAAAGATTGAGCTGTTCTGTTCCATAGCTGCCGTTCTTTCTTTTTCCAAGGTACCAGACATTACCTTCAGCTTTGCCAAGGGCTGCCTCACCCTCCGCACAAGTGCTAGGAAAGAGCAGAGCAGAGCAGAGGCGGAGGACATATGGTCCTCTGGCTAGTGTTGAACTACAATGTCCATCATTCCTCACTGCTGGCTGTGTGGGCTAGGGCTGATGGAAGGGGCTGCAGACACACTCAATGATCAACTAAGATGTCCATTTAGGGCATGAGTACTTTCACCTGCCAAATCATGCACAGATATGTACCCCTTTTAACTAGCACTGGCTTTGGTGGCCAGGCTGAAAACTCGAGAAAAGATTGAGCTCCAAGGCATTCAACGTATGTGGATTATCAATTCTAATCAAGGTTCTTAGTTTCCTAAGAGTTTTTCCAAATGGAACTTAGCACTTCATGTTGCAGTGGTTTGAATGTTCTACCTGCGCAGCAGAAGTACAAGGGATTCACAGAGCAGAACAGCGTCAAGTTCACCAGAGCAGTCCACCCCCTTTCTCAGTAACTGAAACTTACCGTCTCAATTACTCATCCTGATACATTTGTAGGAGAAAAAAATTTAAAAAAAATTTCTTTGCTTAGAGTTCTGAACAGATCAAAACAATAAACAGGACTGCCTTCAACAACGGACTTCAACAGATTCTAGAGAGGGAAATGAAACTCAGCAGAAATTCTCTTTGAAATCAGAGCCAGGAGAGAACTAATGGTTACTGCTGGATAAACAAGTCACCCTAGCCCAGGAAAGAGATCTCCCAGTCAAACCTTCTAAATCTAAAGGCAGCATGCATGGTTGCAAAAACAAACAAACAGAGAGAGAGAGAGAGAGGTTGCAACCTGCCAGAGTTGCATCTGAATGTATTCAGCCCTTCCCCACCCCACGGACCAGAGGTGGTGAACTTTTGGCAAGAGCCAGGAGAGAACTATTGGTTACTGCTGGATAAACAGTCACCCTAGCCCAGGAAAGAGATCTCCCAGTCAAACCTTCTAAATCTAAAGGCAGCATGCATGGTTGCAAAAACAAACAAACAGAGAGAGAGAGAGAGAGGTTGCAACCTGCCAGAGTTGCATCTGAATGTATTCAGCCCTTCCCCACCCCACGGACCAGAGGTGGTGAACTTTTGGCACAGCAGATGTTTTGGACTACAAGTCCCACAGTCTTTTAGCACGGCCAACAGAGAATGGGGATTCTGGGAGTTGAAGTCCAAAGCACCTGGCACACCAAAGGTTCAACATCCCTCCCCAAACCATTTCAGGCCGTTATGCAGACACCGTGACCTCAATAGATTAGTTTTCCCACCCCACCTCTGGGTTTCTAACCTCTTAAAAAAACACAGCGCCTTGTCTGTTTAAGAGATTTAGAAATCTCAAAAGCTTGAAGATATTTTGGTGCCCTTTTGATTAGTATAATGAGGGTATTGCACTAATTCCCACTAGTTCCCAACCTTGGGTCTCCAGGTGTTCACAGTGGTTCCCAACCTTGGGTCTTGGACCAAAACTCCCAGAAGCCTTCACCACTAGTTTTACTGGCCAGGATTTCTGGGAGTTGTAGTCCAAGAACATCAGAGTTACCCAAGGTTACGAGCCACTGCACCAATACAAAGGGACCCGGCCTTTTGCCTATTAGAAAACAAGCAGATGTTTCACAGTCCCCTCATTACATATGAGACAAGGGCATTATTCTTGCCCGTGGGCTTCCATCAGCTCCACATCCGGATGTGAGGGCTTGCATCATTTCAATGTGGTGAACTCCCCACATGACAGTTTCCCTTCCTGTGTCCCGTCACCAGTCGGCTGTTTTGTAAATGTGTTTCATTAAACTGTTAAGAGCGGAGCTTTGTCAACATGAATGCCTCAGGGATCGGGGCTTGTAAAAACACACAAAGAGAGGGAACATGATGAACGCATGACCCCAAGCAGCACCTGGGGGGGTCCCCAGATCCATTAATCTAAACCGAGTTAAGATAGAGATGTGAGAGGCCAGTGGCCGGGCCTCGGAAAAGCCTGGCCTCCATTTCCCTGATGCTCCCACAAAACCACGATAAACAAGCAATTAGCCGCCAAGTCTCAGTAGGGCTTAAAAAGAGTCATTTGAGTGGATTTATCCCCTCAATAACGTGCAAATTGGTCCCAGCCAACAGTGATGCCGTCTTTGTCAGGGACCATCATGGTCCCTCTCTGCTCGTCACAGGGAGGAACGCCGCAGGCCACCCACCGCCTGCATTGCCTTACAAATGGTGGCCTGCCACTGTCATCAATCCCAGCCTATGTCCCTCGGCTCCCAGCATGGAGATATAAAGGCGCTGCCAAGAGAAGGGAAACTGGGACCGGGGAGCGAAGCAGAGAGGTAAGCAGAGCTCAGCGGGCCACAAACATGGAAGCCATCCATCTCCTGCTAGCTCTGGTTTTGCTCTCCGGCAGTCTGGGGTCTGGCCAAGGCCTTGAAGAGGGACTGGGCTCCCAGGAGTTCTTGGCTGAAGATCCCAATGTGTATCCAGAGAGGCTGTCAGGCTGGATGGTAAGTAAACCTGGGTCCTGTGGCTGAAACAGCGAGGGATTGGAGGTGCTCCTACTCATAGTAGTATGGCCATTATTGGAGGATTAGGTTTCAACCTCAGTGCAAAGCAGAAGGATGGCTGTGGATGCCGCCTTTGCTTCAAAAAGTTCAGGTTAATGTACAAGGGGGGGGGGACGGCCACCTCATTTTATCCGCACGACTATCCTGTGAAGTAGATTTTGTGCCCAGAGAGAGAAAGAGAGGGAGAGAGAGAGAAAGGCCCAAGTCACCTAGGAAGAAGAGAAGGGATATGAACCCAGGCAGGGCCAGTCCTACGGATAGACAAAGTGGAGCGGCCAAACAGACAGTGAATTGCTAGTGGGCCGCCTAATGTCAACACTGCCTTTTTACTGCAAGAGGCGGGTAGAGGCACAGGTGGGATTTCCTGTCCCAGGCACCAGAGGAACTTAACTAGGCTTGGATTGCTATGACAGGGCACTAAGGGGGGGGGAGGCAGGAGGAAGGGGGGCTATTTGCTATTTATTTTAAGGTGTCCTGCACCTTGGGATGGCCCTGAATCCAACTCTGAGAAGTCCACTCCACAGATTTGCAGTGACTGAGTGGGATTGTTCCACCATGAATACACAACCCTGTGGAGCACAAGGTGCCTCTCCTGTTTCTCCACCTGGTAAGACTTCTGTGACAAGGGGGGTGGGGTGTGTGTGGAAAGGGTTTGCAGTGGGGGTGGAGGTGGGGGCTCTGCTGCTTCACCTCATCCAACAGTGTCTGTATTTGCCCTTTCAAAGAAGAGACATGCTTTTATTTTGAGGGAACAAGTAAACGCCGAGGTTCTCTTCCCAGGGAAGTGTATCGTCTGTGAAGATGCTCACTCCTTGCTTAATTTCCCTCAGAAGCCTGTGGGGCTGAATTAGTTGTGGTACCTGAGGAACATAATGGTGGGAAGACAAGGTGGAGAAATCACCGGCTTTCAGCCTTGGTGGTCCAGTTATCTCTGTATTTTTATTTTTGCTTTTGGCAAGGCTGTGGTCAGAACTTGGGAGCCTGACTTCTATGGACTCCCCAAATGCCGCAGCCCAGCCCATGCTTCTGGGCAGCCAGCATCCCTGGTCCTTGGTCTCTGATCTTCCTCTTGGCCTCGCGTTAAGGGACTCTTTTTTCTCTCCAGCTCTTTGTGTTCAAAGGAGTGCCTTGGCTTGGTACTCAAGGCTCCTAACCTTGGTTATGTTGTATTTAACCCTCCCAAAGCAAGAAAATGAGGACCATGCTGCGCAGAGCCTGCCTGAAGAACACTCTCTGGGCGTCCTTCTCCGCTCCTTCCTCCACGCTGTGCAGAGACCCGGCCGCAGCCCATCCTTCTTGTTCCAGCCCCAAAGGTAAGGGAGACGCTTAGGGGTCAACGGGCCAGGCAGGAAGAGGCTACTGTAGGCCATTTTTCTGCACCAACCACAGCAGGAGACCCAGCCAAGGATCTGCACCTTTTGAATTTTCCATCTGAATAGCACGGCATTTATACACATTCTACTAACCTTCCAAGGCATAACAGATCCTAAATTTTAGACAGATAAGAGCAAGACTCAATGAGATTCGCCCCTTCTCTCGGCCCAAGCCAGAATGCAGGTTTACAAACTCTTTGTAAGTTTTGATGATTTGCACTCACTCCTTTTTCTCTCGGCTCAAGCCAGAATGCAGGTTTACAAACCCTTTGTAAGTAAGTTTTGATGATTTGCACTCACTCCTTTTGGATTAGGTACGTAATAGCCTTGATGTGAATGCAGCTGCTTCAAAGTACAGCAATGGCCGCAGTGCAATTCATGCGCGCACATGCGCATGCACACGCACACACACACCACACACATGAATCAATGACCCGCAATGCAATTCATGCGCACACATGCGCATGCGCATGCGCACACACACACACCACACACATGAATCAATGAGCAAACACATTTTCATCTATTCAATCGTGATAGGTTTGGATTCCAATTCAGCTAATGTCTGTAACAACTTCTCAGGCTCATTCTTTCACACTTCCTTTTAGTGGGCCAGCCCTGCCATGAGGCAGAGTGAGGCAGCCGTTTCAGGTCCCAGAGGCTCAGGACATCACCTCCTGAATAGTTTTGCCCAGATTTCTTGACAGCTTTCCCCTGCTCACCCTCATCTCGTCTTCCACCTCTGGGAAGGGTAGAGGAAGCAGCCCTTCCATCAATGTTGAAAGAACTGCCCAACCAGTTCGGCTTTCGTACATTGCATGGTGTGCGTGTATCTCGTGCCATCTTGTCCTTTGCCTTAGACAACCAGATAACCTGGGCCAGACTTATTCAGTCATTTCAAAAACGAACGTTAAGCCCCATGTTTTAGCCTTCTTTATCTTGCCAAGACAAAAGAGATGAATGATGCCTTATCACCCATGCCTGACTTTCCCCATGGAATCTTCCTGACTAGTATTGGAAGACACAATCCAGGGTTAAATGAATTTCTGAGTACTCTAGCTTAGGTGATTTCCCTAGTTCCCCTGTGGATGGAGAGGGAGGAGGAAGGCGGCGGCCTCATTCCAGGTTTGAATACCCTTCTGTGTGTGTGTGTGTGTGTGTGTGGTGTGTGTAGGTGTGTGTGTAGGTGTGTGTGTAGGTGTGTGTGTGTGTGTGTGTGTGTGTGTAGGTGTGTAGGTGTGTAGGTGTGTAGACCGTGCACCCGGGGGTAGACCAAGACTGAGGGGATGTCCAAATACTAGACAAAAGTGTGGGGAAGGAGCAAAGACCTGTGCTTGTGGGTGGGGTTTTTGGAGCAGCAAAAAAAGTTGCTTCAGCAGCTGGATCCTTCCCTGAGGCCACCTTGGGTCCTTCTCTCTTTAGGTTTGGGCGCGACGCCAGGGCCGGTTCCCTCAGTGTCGGGCGAATCAAAGCCCGTGCGTGGGATTCCATGGCACCTCAGTTTCTGAGCATGGCCACTCCTCAGCGCTTTGGCAAGAAAAAATGAAGCCGGGAACAGCGACGCGCAGCCGAAGAAACAACAGCACCAAGAGATAAGAACCCAGCCGAGAACCATCTGCTCAGTGGATCTTGCCAGATCAGACAAAAGCCTCTCCTTTCCTTTCCACTTCCATGTCTGTGTTTTGTATCGGTGGGTTACTTGGGTGAGCAACTAGCACTCCTGTCTGGGACTTGTAGTTTGCTAACGGTAATAATAAACGTCATTCCAGCTTGGAAAAGACTGCAGTCCCTTGAGGTGCATTGTCTCCAGCACAGCAGGTGAGGTGGTGCTGTCCAGTGTGAAATGCCCATTGACCGCATTGCCAGTGGTTAGGGGGAGGATGGGAGCTGTATTCCAAAGCATCTAGAGGGCCTGAAGCTGCCTGCTAACTAGAATGCTCCTCGTTATTCATGGCAGGTATGAAAGAAGCCTTGGCTTAGTGGCAGAACAGATGATAAAGGAGACGTTTCCATATAACCATAGAATTCTAGAGCTGGAAAGGACCCCCAAGGTCATCAAGTCCAATCCCTCCCTTTGGCTAAAATAGGAAATCTACATTAAAATATCCTTGACAGAAGGCCATCCTACCTCCTCTTTGAAAACTCCAAGGGAGAATCACCCACCTTTTCAGAGACAGTCCTATCCACCATGAACCAGCTCCCTTTGTCAGGATATTATGCCTAAATTTAGTCATAACCTATTTATTTATTTATTTATTTGGAATATGTATCTATTGTTTGGGGCCCTCCGCCCTTGAGCAACAGAAAAGAAGCTTGTACCATCTTTCCATGCCAGCCCTTCAAATAATGGAAGACAGCTATCATATTGCCAACAACAGGGCTTAAAGGTTCCTTGAACCCACTGGCACTTTAGTATTTTGAAGCAGACCATGTGTGTTTGCAAAGGTCCTCTTTAATTATAACAGTTCATGGCAGCTAATCCATTTTCCTTGTCATTTATCTAACACGTGGCACTGAATCCTGTTCATAACAAAGACAGTCCACCCTGTCCCTGAACAGGCAATGCCATTACGTTATGCTGCGCACATTGCTTTGACTTCTTCATACTATGTAGCTGATAGAATCAACGGCCCACAAGGCACAGTATAGAGCAAGGCAGAATTAGCATATGTCACTCCATGTTGGGTCAAAGGGCTGACATTCTCAGAACTGGAGATGACCTGATAAGCTCAGCATCTGGGGCACAGGTCTTTGTTGTCTCAAAGAAAGTCACACTCCTCTCCAATCCAGAATGCATTTCATGCTGGCTCGAGGATTTGAGCAGCTGTCATCCAAATATGTGAATATGGAAGCTTTGTCAAGTTGGCTTTCAACAGCTCTTCTGTGCAGGACATGGGCAAGAGGAGCATTGGGTCGCCACAGCCAAGGGAAAATGGAGAAGACATGGTTGGGCAGATTGGGTGGGGATTGTAGCACCATTGTTTGAGAGGCATCAGTATCCTCCTACCCCGTACATAGATATATAGCACATCAGAAAGAGAAGTTTCGGCTTTTTTATGTGCAGGGCCATTTTTTTAGCTGGAGATATATATGAAGAACTGATCCATCTAACTACACTTTTCAATGGTCTGCCTTATGGATAGCATGGATGCTCAGTTCTGCCTTCATGTCCCTCCTGGAAGTGGTGGAGAATATAGTGCTAATCCACTTAAAGATGACCACTTATTACAAAAGCCCTTTATTGCAACTCCTAACCATGTAGCATTTGTAAGTGCATGCCCCTCCCCATCCCTCCCCACAAGGAGAAGAACCAGGGTGACATTAGGTGAGCCACAAAGAGGCTGGGCCACTATGACCATGATGGGCAGCGCCAGCAGTTTGCTCTCAGGGTGACAAAGTCTCCAACAGCATCATCTCTGCTGTAGGTACCAAAGAACCCTGGCCAAGTCTTAATTCTGGTTGGAAATCAAAACCCACCACCGCCACTTGCCACTTCAAGACCATGGCAAATACAGTTGTCTCCTTAGAGTGGGCAGGCAGGTGGGGGCAGAGCTGTCTGGGAATCTTTCCGTTGCTCAAGAGTCCTCAGTGGTGTCAGGGTGCCTCATTTGCCCCCTGCCATAATTTTAAGATACTGAAGAGCGTTGTGGGCAGCATCCGCACGAGCAGCATGGCGAGAGGTAGCAGAGCCGTGGCACACTGTGGTTGGCTGTGTAGAAAGCTCCACCAAACACTGGTACAGGCCACTCAAGCTCATCTCATCTGCAAAAAAGGAAAAAGACGACACTCCATCAAACAAACAGAAATAACAGAATGATTTCCATCAACCCTCTGTTCTGTCCAGAAGATGAGTGGACATCAGCAGTTGTATACAGAAGAATCCGTTTAATTCCACCCAACTTCTTCAAAGATGCAACCAGGTTAGTCTCCTCAGCATGTTGACAAAATTAAAGGGTAGGGAGAAAGAAAAAGCTAAATATTGTGGCATTTTTAAAAGACTAACAGAGTGAGCTCTCTTGGGTCAAAATCCACTTTGTCAGACACCACAAAGTGGATTTTTAGTGAGGCTCCTGCAGAAGTGGATTTTTATCTGCAGAAAGCTCATACTGAAATACAGTGGTGCCTCGCACAACGATTGCTTCATACAACGATGAATTCACACAGCGATGGGTTTCTTTGAGGAATTTCCCCCATCGTTTAACGATGTTCTCTATGGGGGAATTTCACTTAACGATGTCCCTTTTTCGCTCCTGTAAAAGTGTCTTAAACTGTTAGAAACCTGTTTTAAATGCTTGCAATCGTTAGCCCACCTCCTGAACCCTATGCAAACTTAATTTGGTGTTGTTCTGAGTCGTCATTAATTTTTGGTGATTTTTTTGTTTTCTCTCTCAATGAAATGCATTGGACGGAGATTTCAATAGAGTTCAATGAGGGAAAAAGAAAAAATCACCAAAAATTAACAGCGACTCAGAACAACACCAAATTAAGTTTGCGTAGGTTTCAGGAGGTGGGCTAACGATTGCAAAAATGCTTGCAAACTGTCCGTCCAATACATTTCAATGAGAGAGAAAACAAAAAAATCACCAAAAATTAACGACGACTCAGAACAACACCAAATTAAGTTTGCATAGGTTTCAGGAGGTGGGCTAATGATTGCAAGCATTAATATGTTCCAATTGGAACGGATTAACCGGTTTTCAATGCATTCCTATGGGAAATGGTGTTTCACTTAACGATGTTTTCACATAATGATTTTTTTTATGGAACCAATTAACATCATTAAGCGAGGCACCACTGTAAATCCATTAGTCATTATAGTAACACAATATTCTGCTTCCTCTTTTTTCTTTCTTTTTTGTTTCCCTTTTAATTTTGTCAACAGCTTCCTCGAACTGACACAAAGGCTGAAATCCTGTGACTCTGTGCAGTAAGTCACACTAGAGCAGGCCCACTGACGACTCCTCCATACATTCCACTGATTCAAATGGACCCACTCTAACTGCAGCTTACTATACTAATTGACAGGATTTCAACCACTGAAAGAGAAAAGTGGATAACACATTCTGAGTCAGCAGAGGATGAGGTGGTAAACTAGAGGAATCAGTTACGACCAGATGGCATGAATTGCCATGTCATTGCTCATTTTCCTTGGGGACAAACAGCTTTATACAGCTATTAGAACCAGTTAACCTCCCCCCCCCATTGGACAAATAACAGGGAAAAATAAGCCAACCTCAGATTTTACTGTGTTCTTCAACTGCTTTTAAATCTGCAAAGAGGCACACACTCAAGGACTCCCAGAACATGCCCACATCAAAGGGAAAAAACATGTGTAGCAAGAGTAGCGAGCCAGATACAGCACCTCCATGCTTAACAGCACACCATTTCTCCCCACTTAATGACAGAGATTCTCATTGATTTATTTATAGGCCTCCTTTCTCCTGATAAGGGGATTCAAGTAGGCTTACAATATTAAAAAGAATAGAATTAAAAACTATTACACATTGAAAACAATTAAACCATGAAACTGATTATGATACATTGAGCAATTAAAACAAATAAAATGCACCACTGGGGCAGTAACATTGACCTGTGTCACAGGCTGGCTCAAAGGATTCCTGGAACCAGAGAGATGACGTGCTCTGAAGACTCTCGAATGTTATAAAGGTGGAATGTTCACATAATAGGGCTGAGTTGGAAGGCCTGTAGATCTGACCTGAGCACTGCTAATGTCTTTAGGCACAGAAGCTAAAGGACAAGACCCTTCGCTTCATGGCAGGGCTGGGCAAGCTGCATCCCAGGGCCAAATATAGCCCTTGACCTAATTTCACACACTGCTAATAAACCAGTCGGACTTTTGGCCCAAGCGATATGTTTTTCTCATTCCGTCTGATAGGTAGGAGAGGAAATTTGCTGCGGTGTATCTGTGTGTGAGAGAAGAGGATTTCAAAGGGAATAAAATAAAGATTGTGATAGGCAAGAAAGAGAGCAAGAAAAGAGGTGGACTCTATTCCTACTTTATAACAACGAGAACCGGTGCTGGAAGGGACCCTCTGCATCACCGAGTCCAGCTCCAGTCAAGGAGGCCCAGTGTGGGAATTGTGAACTCCCAGTCTTTGGCTCCACAGCCCAGAGGCCTCAACCACTCAGCTACCCAAGCAGTTCTGGAGTGAAGAGTCACACGCTAAATCAGAGAGGAACCTACAATGGATTAATATAAAGCAGTGTGAGCAGCTCAGATTCAGACAGTATTTTCTAGGCTCTTCTTTGAGGCTCCGTTCTTAGGTGCTGTTCAAGACATCACATCTTGCAAGCATTATGGTGGCTCCTCCCACGCTCCTATTCACAACCCTCTTTTATGCCCTGAATAAACTCTTTTCTTGCTTACAGGAGGTCACTGGTGAGGACTCTTAAGCTCTTGATGTGGTTTACAAACAATGTGGGCAATTCTAAACAGGTCTGCCTGTGTCTGTCATTCATTGCCTGACCAATCAGCCTGCCACTAAGGAAATATACATTGATGTATTTAAGTGGACAAACAGGCCCGTACAAGCTGCGGGTGTCTCCACAAAGGATAAGAGGTGAAGTCTTTAAAAAGCAGGAAGAGGTGTGTGTGTGTGTGCGTGCGTGTGTGTGCGTCTCCACAAATGATAAGAGGTGAACGTTTGTTTCCCTTATCCCTATTCAAGGAGCCAATCCTGGCTTCCGACTGCAGGTCTCATTTCCATTCCTTTACCAATATCGAGGTAGCTGATATCAAAGCTCTGCTCTTCGGAGAGCTCCTGCAAGAGGCTGCAGAAGCCAGAGTTGAGCACGCCCAGGGGGTTGCTTTTCAGGTGCAAAATCTTCTCTCCAGCAGAGTTGCGCAAGGAGTCCCAGGTGCAGCCAGAACCTCGGCCCTTCACCCCGTCCAGCTTGTTTCCTGCAGTCTAAGGAATGGAAAAGAGAACGGAGAGAGGAGGGAGACCTTCTTCTTCCATAGGTCAAGGCACAGCCATTGCGCTCCCCTCCTGCTGTAACTGCACCCCCATCCATCCTTTTGGCAATCAGGCTGCCTCTAGTTACTCTACTTCAGCGACATCCCCCCCCCACACACCCGGCTCAGGGCCTCCCATCTACATGGAGGGAACAACAGCTCTCAGGTAAAGCATAGGGCTTGTATGCCAAGGGTCCCAGGTAATTCTATGACATCTCCAGACATGGCTAGGAAAAAAACCTAGATAAATACAAATACCTCCACAGCATACCAAGCCACACTACCCATAAGGTGCCTTCATAGAAACATAAGAGTTGGAAGGGGCCTATATAAAGCCATTGAGTCCAGTCCCACTGCTCAAGGCAGGAATCCAAGTCAAAATCTGACGCATGGGTGTGTCCCTTTCTTTCGAGCGTGTCCAGCATTGGAGTGCTCACCACCTCCCGATGAGCATGTCCAGCATCGGAGTGCTCACCACCTCCCGAGGCTCTGCTATTGTACTGCTCAAACAGTTAAGAGGTTTTTCCTGATATTCAGCTTGCAATTGCGGTAAGGGGTACCATCCCCTCCCAAGTTTTTTGGGGGGATGAGACACCCTCTTTTGCTCAGTCCATGAGTCTCCCATGGTTTCTGTGAATAGCCTGCCAATCTAGTGCTAGAGTGACAGGAGCATGACTCAGACCTTCCCTTTTCTGTTAAAATAACATGATAAAATAGTTTTGTACTCTGTAACTGTGTCAAAAAGCTAATTTCCCAATTTCTTGAAGTGCAGGTAATGTTCTGCTGTGCAGCCTTTGCAACTCTGCAAAAGAGAGCCGACTCTTTCCAGGTTTGGCAGGCACACAGTTGCATATGCTAGTCTGCGTGTGTAAATGTGGACACTTGTGCTTTTTGTCACTCTAGCAAGAGATCAGCCTTTCCAGATATTATGACAGGATGAGGATGCACAGAGCACCATACTCTGACAGTTGATTTCCCAATGACCAGAATGGACACTGAATCTTGGGGCGGCACAGCTGCTTCTAAGGCTCCTTAACTTGCCTCAAGTAAAGAGGCCACTTTCCCAAAGAGACTTCCAGGGTGGGACTCTCAGCAGAGCCTGACACAGCTCCTCAAGCAGCAGGTTTTGGCATCCCAAACCTCATTCAGGGCAACCCCAACCATGAATGGTTTCGTCCCCTACCCCAACGCTGCCCAGGACTCACAATAGAAAACTGGTCCTCCTCCACTTCAGCCTCACTGCCCTCTCGTGGATCCAGTGGGACATTATGAATCCGCACAAGCATCTTGGCGGCAGCATTGCGCTTGGCAAGCTTTTTGGAGGTGCCGCTGCCTGGTGGGGAAAGAAAGTGGGTGATACGAGCAATCCAGAAGACAGTTCAGAGGACATGGTTCAGATGGACATGGGAGTCCAGAACAAAAGTTGTGGAGAAGAAAGAAGGAGATGATACAGGTTTGCTCCACACTCTCTACCCCGCTTTCCTCCCATCTGAGTGTATTTTGAGCCACACCACACCTGCCTCCGTGTCTGTACCTTGTATCCCAACCATGCCATCCAACTGGAAAGGTGCAGAAGCAAGAGCAAAGGAACATGATACTTGTACATGTTTGACCAAAATGGCCCAATGTGTCCAAGCTGAAATACTCAGCAATCCTTTACACCAGAAATATGAAAACTTACATGTTTGGACTACAACTGCCAGAATCCTGGCCATTGTGGTCATAGGGAACTCTGGAACCTGTCATTTAAAACAAAAACAAAAAGCCCTCTTCCAAGCTCTTCTTGACACACAGGCTGAAACCCTATTGCTTAGCACAGTAACTTGCAACTAGAGTAGGCCCACTGAACCAGTGGGGATTTGGTGAGTCAACTGCTCTTTTAAGTTTCATTGATTCAAATGGTGGTGGCAGGCAACTCTGAGGCCTGCAAGACTGTACCTATTTCAATGAACCTTTCGACACGGCAGGTCATGGTGAATTCTTTGCGGTGCGCTGGTCCCGATTCCTGAGTGACTGTGTATTCAGGTAACCGCCACCCTTTTTGAACCACCAGCTCCTGGAAAGAAAGAGGGAGGGAAAGAGAGAGAGAAGGGAGAAGCCAGAAAGCCATTTAACTCTGGACGCATGGAGGGAATGGGAAATTAGGACTCAGATGTTGCCTGGGATGTATTTAGAGCTACAAGTGGCCTGCCTGAATTAAATGGCTGGCATTTATTTATTTATTTATTTATTTAATTTATATGCCGCCCACACTACCCAAAGGTCTCTGGGCGGCTTACAGCATTTAAAATACAATAAAGTTATGTAGCAATTAAAATACAATTAAAATATATATAAAATTGCCATCGGACCCACAGCTAATATTATTTCAGTTAAAAGCCTTCTGGAACAGGAAGGTTTTGACCTGGCGCCGAAATGTCATCAGTGTCGGCGCCAGACGAATCTCAGTAGGGAGGGCATTCCATAGTCTGGGGGCAGCTGCCGAAAAGGCCCTTTGTCTACAAGCCGCCCCTCTTACCTCCTTGAGGGACGGCTCTTCCAAAAGGGCCCCCTGGCTAGATCTTAACTGCCGGGGAGGCTCATATGGAAGGAGGCGGTCCTTCAGGTATGCAGGGCCCAAGCCGTTTAGGGCTTTATATGTCAAAACAAGCACTTTGAATTGGGCCCGGGCAGCAACTGGTAGCCAATGTAACTTATACAGAATTGGCTTGATATGTTCCCTGGCGGCCACACCACTCACCAGCCGCGCCGCTCGATTCTGGCCCAGTTGCAGTCGCCGGGGCCGCTTCAAAGGCAGCCCCACGTAAAGCGCATTGCAGTAATCTATACGGGATGTTACCAGTGCATGTGTAACTGTCATGAGACTCCGCTCGTCCAGGTAGGGCCGTAGCTGGTATAGTTTCCGCAGCTGGAGGAAGGCACCCCTGGCCACCGAGTCCACCTGGTCTTGCAGTGTTAGACTGGGGTCCAGGAGCACCCCCAGGCTGCGGACCCTGTCCCTTAGGGGGAGTGTAACCCCATTCAGGACAGGGAAATGGCCCTCCAACCTGTCCGGCGAAGCACCCACTAACAGCACTTCCGTCTTCTCTGGATTGAGTTTCCATTTATTGACCCTCATCCAGTCCATTATCCGGTCCAGACACGAGTTCAGCGCAGAAACCGCCTCACCTGGATTGGTGGAGAATGAGAGGTAGAGCTGAGTGTCATCAGCATATTGCTGACTCCTCAGCCCAAACCTCCTGATGACCTCTCCCAGCGGTTTCATGTAGATGTTAAACAGCATGGGGGACAGTATCGAGCCCTGAGCAACCCCATGACATGAATGTCATGGGGCAGAGCAACTGCCCCCCAGCACCACCCTCTGGACACGGTCAGCCAGGAAGGAGCGGAACCACCGTAAAACAGTGCCCCCAACTCCCAACCCAGCCAGCCTATCCAGAAGGACACCATGGTTGATGGTGTCGAAAGCCGCTGAGAGGTCCAGGAGTATCAACAGGGTCACCCTCCCCCTGTCTCTCTCCCGGCAAAGGTCATCATACAGGGCGACCAAGGCAGTCTCTGTACCAAAACCCGGCCTGAGCCCCGATTGAAATGGATCTAGAAAATCAGTTTCATCCAGCAGCCCCTGGAGTTGCCCAGCCACAACCCGCTCCAACACTTTGCCCAAATAAGGGAGGTTCGCCACTGGTCGGGAGTTAGCCACCAGCCTTGGGTCCAGGTTTGGCTTTTTAAGGAGTGGTCGAATTACCGCCTCTTTCAAGGTGGTAGCGACCACTCCCTCTCTTAAAGAGGCGTTCACGGCCTCCTGGACCCAGGTGCGAACCCCCCTGGCTGATCTTCTAATTAGCCAGGATGGGCAAGGGTCGAGCGGAGTTGTGGTAGAACGGACAGATCCAAGCACTCTGTCCACATCCTCAGGTCTCAACAATTGAAACTCATCCATTAATACCTGACCAAGGCACGGTGCGCTGGATACATCCTCTGACTCTGCAGTAACTGTGGAGTCCAACCCACTGCGAATCTGAGCGATTTTTTCCTCAAAATGGATGGCAAACTCATCACAACGAGCTGATGAGCAGTCCAGGACCTCCACCGGATTTCCCGGTTGAAGAAGATCCTGGACCACCCGAAACAGCTCGGCTGGACGACATTCTGAGGAAGCAATACGGCTGGAGAAATATTGCCGTTTCGCCAGCCGTATTGCCACGAAATAGGCCCGATAATGGGCTCTAAGTCGTGTTCGGTCGGACTCCCAGCCGGATTTCCTCCCCCTGCACTCCAGCCGTCTCCCCTCTCGCTTCATCACCCGCAGTTCAGAAGTATACCAAGGGGCTGTCTGGGCTCAGCGAGCAGGGAGAGGGCGCTTAGGCGCGATCGTGTCAACAGCCTGGGTCATCTCCTTATTCCATAGGGTGACCTGAGCTTCAACAGGAGCGCCGACCATATCAGACGGATAATCCCCCAGAGCATTCAGGAATCCATCTGGATCCATTAGTCTCCGAGGGCGGATCATCTTAATAGATCCCCCTCCCTTGCAGAGGGAAGAAGAAACTAATAGACTAAACTTGACCAGGAAGTGGTCTGACCATGACAATGGGGTCACGACCAGCCCCTCCACATCCAAACCACCATCTTCCAGGCCCGTTGAGAAAACCAGGTCCAAGGTATGGCCCTTCTCATGCGTTGGGCCGATGACACATTGAGCCAGCCCCATGGTTGTCATGGCGGCCATGAAGTCCTGAGCTGCCCCAGTCAAGGGAGCCTCAGCCTGAATGTTGAGGTCCCCCAGCACCAACAGCCTGGGAGTCCTCAACACCAGGTCTGAGACTACCTCTGTCAGCTCAGGCAGGGAGACTGCTGGTACGCAGCAGGGTGGGCGGTACACCAACAGAATCCCTAACCTGTCTCGCGAGCCCAACACACAATACAGGCCCTCGAGACCTCCTCTCAAAGAGATAGGAAGCCTGGTCAAGGAGATAGAACTCCTATAGACTATAGCAACTCCCCCTGAGCTGATCAGAATACTCGCATCCTCAGTGCAAACAGAAGAAACAATATCAGGCGGGGGGGGGCGCTCAGCAGGTGGCCAGTGGAAGAGACCACAAGTGGGACTTGGCTTTCATACCAGAGATAGGCACAGGCAAGATACAGATGTGTGCCTTCTGCTACTGATGTCAATGCTGGCAGAGGAGACCAGACACAGTGTGAGCCTCTGTCTACACTGTCCCTGGCAAGGACCTGAGGCTGGGGAAAACTGCACCCAAGAGAGTCACCTACCTGCAGGGCCCCAACGGGATTGCACTCTGACTGCTGCGGCGATACTGGGGACTTTATGTCCATTGGGGAGCTTCTGGGTGAAAGAGAGCACAAGGTCAAGGACTCTCCCCCAGGGGTTTTCCTGACCCAAACCCTCCTCTATCCCACCTCTAGACAGAGGTCTAGGCACATGGACAGTATTCCAGGGGACCAGGTTATGGAAGGTACTCAATAAAGAGGGCTCTGATTGCCCACCACCCCATGCCATTCCCAAGTTGCTGGTTGCAGCTTACAGAAAGCCACAGTGGGGGGGGGGATGCCGGCAGCAGGACCAAGCAGAGGGAACATCCATCCAGAGAAACCAGCATGTTCTAGCCGAGCAGCCAAGTGTGCATCTGGGGTGGGGGTGGGGAATCCAGGTGTATGTGAGCAGCTAGAAGGTGCACGGCAGCCCAGTTCCCAAGCTCTCACATCTGTGTCGATCCCATTACCTGGGAGACGCAGTCGGCAAGATGGGCACAGGCGTGGTGGCGGGGGTGGTGGTCTGAGCCAAGGGCTCTAGAGAGAAAGGAGAGCTTCAAAATACAAGGTGACAATATTAAAAAGCAAGCTCAGAAGCAGAAGCACATGCAGTGTGGAAGAAGTTTCTGGACACATGAGAATGCCCACAACCTCGTCCCCAAACCCTGTGCACAACCCTCCTGGTCTTCACCAGCACACCTTCCATCCATTTCACCCTCCCCCAATTCATCTCACCCATTCGACCTGCAAAACTAGTCCCTTAACTCTGCATAACCAAGACTGTAGAAGATCAGAACTTGCTTTGTGAGATGTGTCTGAATCTCAGCTTTCACTGGCTTTAAAATATAAAAAAGTGTCTTCAAAGGCCTGTCCTGAAAGGACTACATGTCAGCTGGTGAACTGTTACAAGTTGGGGCAACAAGAAGGCACTCTGATCATGTGTGTGGGACCCTTTGGCCCTCCACCTAACTGGCCAAAGCAGACCAAATTATGCAAATCAAGCGCAGTAAATTGTTTCATGGTGCAGCACACGGCATTGCTTGGCACAGAATTAAAGTTAAATTGATGTGGGTGTAAAAATAAGAACACAGGCTTGACTACTTCCAACACCTGGCTGCAAACACCAGAAGAACAAACATGCCCCCAAAGTGCCTGCATTTCTCATCCCGTAGTGCCGCAACCATTCTGGGGGGTTTTGCTCACTCATGGAAAGACAAAAAGACTACTGATTTGAGCACCTTAATGTTCCACAGACCTCCTGCCTCCCAAGTATCTGCCCAGCATCTGCCGTACCATCAGAGTAGCTGTGTCTTTTTTTAACCTACCCAACACCCACCGGCAGTGAGAAAGGGCATGCCTGCTTTGTCCTTCCTGCACCCAAGTTATCTTTCAAAGCAAAGGCACAAAAAATTAAGGGCTAGCATGGATCTTGTATGCAAAGAATTCCTCAGAATATACATTTTACAAACAGAATTTGGGGGAAGCAGCTACTAGACTGATTCTTCTGTGGTCCTTACCTGGGTTCCTCCAGCGTCGCTGGCTCCAACATGTTCCCTCCCTTCAGAAGTCTGAGGGCCACCTCAGCCGCCTTGTGCTTGGCTGCTTTTTTGCTAGGGCCTTGGCCTGAGAACAAGGAAAGGGGAGAAGCCAACCTGTGATTCAAAGCCGGAATGGCACCTTGCCAGGGTGCAAGCGGACAAGCTTATAAACCTCTTTGGTCAGATTCAACCCATGGCCAGACAGACCCAGACTTGTTTAGGTTCAGCAAGGTGGTGGCATTTTGGGCCTTCTAACCGCCTTCATACAACAGCTCTGCAACATACAGTACATATAATGGCACATTATATGTACTGTATGTGAAAACACAACTGGGCATGGAGGTAGTGGGAGTGTTTTGGGCAAATGTAAGAAGCCTTTAAGTATAGGCTGGCCTCCTAGGATCAAAAACTACACAGTTCAAGAAGAATTAGAGGCAACTGCACATCCCTTCTTCTGTGCAAGAATTCTCTTCCTGAGCTTCATTATAATCAAGTAAAAAGCTCAGTGCTCCATCTGTAAATCAACCACTCTCCTTCTTAACTCATTACTACTCTGCATACCTACTCATCTCCAGTGGAGGCCAGATCAATTGAATTTTCCAAAAGAACTGTCAAGAACTGGAAAAATAAATGAGAAACTTTGGGGGAGCACTAGAAGTGAGACTAAAATAGGTCATTGACTACACAAAAGCCTTTGACTGTATAGACCGCAGCAAACTATGGCAAGTCCTTAAAGAAATGGGAGTGCCTGACCACCTTATCTATCTCCTGAGAAATCTATATGTGGGAGAGGAAGCAACAGTTAGAACTGGATATGGAACAACTGATTGGTTCAAAATTGGGAAAGGAGTACAACAAGGCTGTATATTGTCTCCCTTCTTATTTAACTTATATGCATCATGCGAAAAGCTAGACTGGAGGAATCCCAAGCCAGAATTAAGATTGCCGGAAAAAAATTCAACCTCAGATATGAAGATGATACCACTCTGATGGCAGAAAGTGAGGAGGAATTAAAGAACCTCTTAATGAGAGACAAAGAGGAAGGCGCCAAAAATGGTCTGAAGCTCAACATCTAAAGAACTAAGATCATGGCCATGGGTCACATCACCTCCTGGCAAATAGAAGGGGAAGATATGGAGGCAGTGACAGAGTTTACCTTCATGGGCTCCATGATCACTGCAGATGGTGACAGCAGCCATGAAATTAAAAAATGCTTGCTTCTTGGGAGGAAAGCGATGACAAACCTAGACAGCATCTTAAAATGCAGGGACATCACCTTGCCGACAAAGGTCTGCATAGTCAAAGTTGTGGTTTTTCCAATAGCGATGTATGGAAGTGAGAGCTGGACCATAAAGAAGGCTGACCACCAAAGAATTGATGCTTTTGAATTGTGGTGCTGGAGGAGACTCTTGAGAGTTCCCTGGACTGCAAGGAGAACAAACCTATCCATTCTGAAGGAAATCAAGCCTGAGTGCTCACTGGAAGGACAGATCCTGAAGCTGAGGCTCCAATACTTTGGCCATCTCATGAGAAGAGAAGACTCCCTTGAAAAGACCCTGATGTTGGGAAAGTGTGAGGGCAAGAGGAGAAGGGGATGACAGAGGATGAGATGGTTGGACAGTGTCTACCAACACAATTCAAGCTACCAACATGAATTTGACCCAACTCTGGGAGGCAGTGGAAGAGAGGAGGGCCTGGTGTGCTCTGGTCCATGGGGTCACAAAGAGTCGGACACGACTTAACAACTAAACAACAAATAAAAAAAAGACAGCTCATAACTCTTGGTTTGGGGAAAATAATTGAAATGGGTTGAACAGCCAGCACCGCCTAAGTTCTACTCTGAAGATAGAGTGGCTTAGGACATATCTATCTTTAGCTCCCTGTGTTTAAGACAGTGGACCTGAAACATAGGCAAAGAAATGGAGACACTTCTTTTAGCTTCAGGTCCTCATCAGTTGTTTCCCAGAGTCTGCCTCCCACTGCATTTTTCAAGGTATTTGGAGTTGCATTTGGAGGGAGAAAATCTCCTACGAAGACAAGATAACATGTTGTTTTGTTTGTATGGACAGAGGAGGGAGTATGACTTCCTTCCCTTTTTTATAATAACCTTGAAGCTTCAGGAGACAGGATAAAAATGTAAACAAAATGAGTACTTTGGGAAGAGTCCATGGAAAAAGGTAGAGATGTCTCCTGCTCTCCATTTAATAGCAAAAAACTCCTTCAAACAACACAAAGGACAGCAAGAGATAAATATATTACACACACACACACACCACAACAGCACACAAACATATACAACTGTTTCCTGCTTCATTTCTACACCCATTCTTTGCCACTACTAACCGGTACAGCTGATGTCCCCAACCGTGACACGAAAGGTGAAGTTGGGCTGATGAGCTTGTCCCTCGGCTTTCAGTAGGTCGTAGACGGGTGTTTTGCCTATGCGTGTCCCATACTCTTGCAGCAGGCTGATCGGGGTCTTGCCAGGATTAGACGCCAGCATTTGCTCTATACTGAAGACAGCAAAGAGAACACAGATGGATTTCAGGAGTCACTCCGTCCTTGAACAAGGACAAAGAACTTCTTTTGTCAGACAAGGTATTTGCGGCTTCAACAATTCCACTCTTTATAAGAGGGGCAGGCAATCTGTAGCCCTTCAGATACTGGCAGACTACAATGTGCCATCTTAGCAAGTGGGAAACCACAACAGAAGTTGAAGCCCAACAACGTGAGGGATGGGGAGGGCTATAAGCTGGCCACCCTGCTCTATAACAAAGACTGTACTCCACTCTCCTTCACCCTATTCATACGACATCATGCCACAGTATGCAGAGAAGCAATTAAGATCCAGGTTCAAGTCCTCACTCAACCATAGGACAATCATTCTCTTTCAGCCTAACCTACCTCACAGGGATGCTGTGACACAGTGGGGCAGCAGAGAGGCATGTATGTTGCCTGGAGCTTATCAGGGGGAGGGGAGTAGGAAAAATAGCTAATAAATAAATAACTCTGGAGTGGCTCTGTCACTGCCAAAGTCCTCTTCAATTGCAGTTCCACAGCGCAGTCAGTCCTCCTGCCTAACCTCAGATGTGAGAGTTCTCTAGCAGAATAGAACATAAGCACATCGAAAGAAACTACAGGGTTACATTCAAAAGAGTGCTTTGCTCTTGCCATCTTTTAACTACCCTTTTAACTATACTGAAGATGGCAAAGAGAACACAGACGGATTTTTTCCAGGGCATTCCTGGAACTTATGTGAGGTTTCCAATTTAGACAAAGAATTGGCTGACACCAAAAGATCTAATTGAGTAACTTTGTTTCAAGAGCAACTCATACATGCCCCTGAGCACCCACACAGGACAAAAGCCATTTCTCCCGCCATTTGTCCCCAACAGAAAAATAATGTTTCTGTACCCAAAAATGCCATTGACCCTGAGTGCACTGGAATACATAATCTTGAATTCTTGGAATCCTTCAGCTAGCAGGGTCAGTATTCTGATTCTATGTTTGGGATTCCGTATTCCATATCGACGCAGACTGGAAGATCATGTGCTCTGACATAGGTGAGGTGACAGCCGCTTTTCTGGTAAGCAGCAATGTTATCCTTAGTAAAGTCAGCAGCACCTGGCTCTGAATTAGGATCGTGCCTATGTAAACGTACTTGGGAGCAAGCCCTTCAGTGGCTCTAATTTCTTCGGAACAAATGCATAAAACTGCAGTGGTGGGGGAGGTCTGCCTACATTGTAAGCCAATGGACTACCCTACCATTCCATTGAAGCTGACTGTTTTGCCCCTATTAACCCAGTCTTTTGGATCCCTTGGAAAGAGGAGAAACAGAATGTACTGTTTCTGTTAAAACTGATGTGTTATTTCTCACGGTCAGGAACATACTGAGACCCTCTTCTCAGATAAGGGGTGCGATCATTTCCAAGCATCTTCTATGCCATCATGAGAGCAGAAATCGATGGCAGGAATCGTTTGAAAAGTTAACTAAAGCACTACAGGGCTATTATTATTGGTGGCATTTATACTGTGCTTTTCCTGCACAACTCTCAAGGAAGAACAGTACTGTACAAGGAAAACGTCTCTGAGCCAAGTCCCAAGCCAAGACTCTAACCACTGCAGCGCACTGCCACTGCCTCCGACCCCTTCCCGGGCCCCTGCCAAGGCCCGGGTTCTTGCTCCCATGGGTGGCCCTTTCAAAGGGCTGGGCCCAGGAGGGCCCTCCCGTTCTCCTAGCAACGGGATTCAAGAGGTCCTCTTGGAGGCAACCTAGCAACGCACGTCCAAGGGGCGGGGCTTCCCGCCCGGCATCTTAGCAACGGCGGGCGGAGGCCTCCGGGATTCACCTGGGGAAGCTGCCGCAGCTCCTCGCGTTCCCGCAAGGCTCCTCCGCCTCCTCCTCGCTCATTCCCTCCTACTGCCCCGCCGCCGCCGCCGCCACAACGCCTGCCGCCCTCCAGCCCGGCTTGCAATGGCCGGGAGAGAGGAAGCGACGGCCCTCGGCCGCCTCCGAAGCGACGCGAGGCGCATCATGGGACCTGGAGTCCACCCGGGGCTCCCGGCCAGGCGGCGATAGAGGCAAAAGGACTACATATCCCATACGGCCTTTCGAACACACGAGGCCATAGACGGGCTTGCCCTCTCTGTGTGCGTCGGAGAGCCGTGGCTGGTCCCGCTGCATGCTGGGAAGAGTCGTTTCCGTGGGCCGAAGCCCTCATGCCGTTAATTATACTTGTATAGGCGAAAGTCGGCGGCCAAAGTCAAGTTACAGCTGGGGGGGAGGGGGGGTAAACATCCGCGCGTGTAAAGATGATTATATCTAGCTTGCAGGAAAAGTGCAAATGAAATGTCCCGTAAAGCCGGTGAGAGGGTTGTTTTACACAAGTTTCAAAATCCTTCTCATTAAGGCTTTTACTAGAGATTAAACTCAAGCGGTATATTTTCTCTGAAAGAAGTTCGCAATTTATTTCATTGGCGCTTACTCCTTATAAGGATTGCAGCCTTAATCCCTGTCCCAAATAAAATGAAATTTAAGGCGGTAATTTTCAAAGAAAAAGCCCTTTTAATCTGTGCAACCATACCAGATAAAAAATAACTTTGTGACATCGTTATTTAACAGCTAGATACTGTCGTCGTTTAGTCGTGTCCGACTCTTCGTGACCCCATGCACCAGAGCACGCCAGGCCCTCCTATCTTCAAGTTTATTCTGCCTGTAACTGTCTCAGAAATGTTTTTTTTTAACTGTATGTATCTGTTGCTCTCTTACTTATTTATTCAAAACATTTTACCCCACCTTTTCCCTTAAAAAGCCTTTAACAGCTAGATACTGTCGTCGTTTAGCCGTGTCCGACTCTTCGTGACCCCATGCACCAGAGCACGCCAGGCCCTCCTATCTTCAAGTTTATTCTGCCTGTAACTGTCTCAGAAATGTTTTTTTTAATCTGTATGTATCTGTTGCTCTCTTACTTATTTATTCAAAACATTTTACCCCACCTTTTCCCTTAAAAAGCACCCAAGGCAGCTTACATTATTACAAGACAATGTTTAAAGCTAAAAATAATACTGTATACAAATACTAAAAAGATCAGGTATCACACTACAACACAATAAACAACACTGCTTGCAGAAGGACAGCAAAGATGGGGCCAGTCTGGTCTGAGGGAGGAAGTTTGAAAGTCTGGGAGCAACAACGGAGAAGACCTTCTCCTGTGTCTCCAGCAGGTACACCTGTGAGGATGTTAAGACAGAAAGAAAGGCTTCTGATGATCTTAACACCCCAGCAGGCTCATAAAGGGAGATGCTGTCCTTGAGATAGCTTGGACTGAAGCAGATCTGGACAAAGAGACCATAATGCATTATGTATTACTACTGGATAGAGAACGTGTGAACCTCCATATGTAGCAGGTCAGCCCGTCATCTTTTATGACAGGCAATACTGCCTATGCCTGATGGGGGTTGCAGTCTATCAGCATCTGGAGGGCCACAGACGCTAAGGTTTCCTGCCTGTTGTTGATCGGGGTGCTCTTTCCGTCACGTCCAGGTTTTGCACTGAGGCTGAGGTTCGACACGCCTGGTGCACGTTTATCATAATCCTCCTGAACATAATGGAGTTACTCCAGAGTACAGAAGCACAAACTGTAGCTGCCGGCTTGCAAAACACAGCTGTGTAGCAACAGTCCCACGGACGGGTCTATTGCTGTTGTCTTAAGTCTGGGTTAAAGGACGACTTTCTGAGTCTGTCTCCACCGCAACAGAGCATGAACTACATCACCCAGAACCGCATCGGGGAGGTGGGTGCGATTAAGAATTGGTTCGCGGGCTCCTGAAACGAAGCAACCAATAGGCACAGAACTACATTACCCACAAAAAACAGGGCGCGGATTATCTGATTGGTTCTCGGCGTTCCATTCTCGTCCCTCCTGGCTTTGTCTCCCGTCCAGGTTCCTTGGTCCTTTCCCCGTTTCATTGGTTCCTCCCCTTTTCCCTTCCCGACCCTCTGGGCGTCCAATCCTTTCTTCTTCCCTTTCTCCCACTCCGTTTTCTGGGTTGGTGCTCCCCCTGTGATTGGCCGCATCTCCCCGGCGGAGAGTCCTCATTGGCTCAGCTCGGTGCCCCGCCGGTCTCTGTGAGCCGCGTTGGTGATGGAGGGAGCGCTGCTGAAATGGACCAACTATCTTTCGGGTAAGCCGGAGTCCTCCTTCGGGTCGTGCTTCGGGAGCGGGGGTGGGGACCTGGCTTTAGCAGCCCCCCCCATTTCCTCGCCCGTAGGCTCTCTTGCCCCACAGCCCACACCCATGCCAGGCACCTTCCATAATCGCCACGTTCCAGAGGTGGGGGCAGAACCCCAGGAGTCCTGGTACCTTTTCTCCCACTAGCCTCTCTCTCTTCCTCCCNCCAGCACTTTTCTTCTTCATTGCTTCCAAATGACCCAGGGGCACCGGTGCTTTCTCTTACTAATGACCCAGGGGCACCGGTGCTTTCTCTTACTATACCGGGACTTTGAGGGCTGGCATCTTTTTATTGGCAGGACGGTGGCAGCTTTTAACCGTTATGTAACCGGCAGAAGTTCAACAGGTGCAGCTTTCTTCTCGGAGATGCAAGGAAAGGCTAAACGGTGCCTCCTTTACACGTCCCTGTCAGGCAGCCTTTAGGGCCGAACATTCTGTATTCTTTTTGCCACAAAGTTTGGGAGCATATGTGACACACACACACCCCAAGGGCGGATCTACCATAAAACCCATGAAGCTTAAGCTTCAGAATCCAGGAGGGGCCCCAGAAGTGACTTTAGTCCACATTTTTAAGAAATGTGTGATGATCAGTTGTAGACCAACCCTATTAAAGAAGATTACAGTGGTTACCCAGATCTTGTTGCTGGTTGTGAACCTCATAACAGGTCAAACTTCAGGGCCCCAAAAATGTGGGTCCCCACCCCCTGTGGGCCCTTCCTTTTGAAAAATGAGCTGTGTGATTCAAACAGGGGTCTTTCGCCCTTATCCTCCAAGACCCATGAATGTCAAAGCTTGAGGTGGTTTCTCATTTGTAGTAGGATGAGTCCTCCATGATAGTCATGAAAAGAGAAACAGCAAGTAACAGGTATGTTTGCCAATTTATTGCCAGCATGATGAGAAAAGCTTTCTCTTGACACTTAGTAGATTACTCGTCAGAATACATGTTATTTAGATTGTAAACACTATGTTCAGGAATTTGGATGATCTGGGTGGCATCTAGTGTTGTGTTAATAGTGAATAGAGGTTCAGTAGCAACAGAGAAAGAGAGAGGCATTTCTGTTTAGTAATGTATAACTCTGTGAGTTATGTATCTGTTGAGCCAGAGGCTGAGAATTTGATTCTCGACTATGCCACTTAGGAGAAGAGCCAACTTGTGAAGACTTTGGTAAGCTCCAGGGCACCCTTGGAAGAAGAAAGGGATAAACCTTAGTAGTCTATATCTAGAAAGCTTTGGAAAGAGTTACATAAGGAAAATCACATAAGTTTTGGTAGCAGACTGCTACTGATTAATGAAGTGCTGCTTATGTTCCTGTTCCTGCCTATGAATGCAACCTTCATCTTTTAATGAGCAACAATTTGCTATCAGCACTTATACTAGCTTGCACAAATATAAATTGACAGTAGGATTCTGGCTACTGTTTTCCGCTCTGCTCCAGAAATCAGATTATGTATTTCGTCCCTCAACTGTGATGGAGGCAGACTCTGAAAGGCATCAAGGCAAGCAAAATCTGAGTAGTCTTCAAGATTTTCTGTTCTTTTGTTCTATGTTCAGATATTCCAGGGTGGAGATCTATCTGTTGAGGCTGCAGAGGCTTCTGCTGGAATATATTTATAAGCTTAAACAATCATTTTTAAAAGCTTATTTGAAAAATAACCCATGTAATCAATACTATATTCCCATCATGGATTTTTGGATTACAAAATATTTGTTAATCCAGTCCTTTTTTCCACCTCCCACATATGAGCTTAATTTATAAAGGTAAAGGTAAAGGTTCCCCTTGACAAATTTTGTCCAGTCTTGTCCGACTCTAGGGGGCGGCTCTCATCCCGCTCTTCATCCCACATATGAGCTTAATTTATAACATATCTTAAAATCATTGTTCTGTTATATTTCTATATAATAGATTACCACCACCCCTTTTAATTGTTTTGGTATATTTCAGCCCAGAAAGTGTAGAAGGCAGAGTTTATTTTCCAACTGAGGCTAAAGAGAGCTGAACCACATTTCTCATTATACAGGGAATACAAATTTTTATTTTTCTAGTCAACTACATACAAAAATGCTTGGCTCATCACAAACAAAAATTGCATTTCTTTTTCTTCTTCCTGCTCCAGGTTGGCAGCCACGGTACTTTGTATTAGAGAATGGCATCCTTTCCTATTATGATTCTCAGGATGATGTGGGCAAAGGTAGCAAAGGCAGTATCAAGATGGCAGTGTGTGAGATTAAAGGTAAGACTGTTTGACAATGTGCTGGAGTGATGATTCTTGTGACATACTGGTACATGAAATGCCAAATCTGTCCTATTTCTTCCTATCCAACTCCTCAATTCATTCTGGCATGTGTGTTCCCTTCTGCTTCCTCCCAACAGCGTTACCTTCTTTCTTCCCACATGGGTATCTAGGCTTCTCTACTCCTTTCCCTTCAGTAGATCACACTGTGATCTGCTCTGTTATTTTTCTTTACAGTTTCTTCATTTCTGGAAGCTCTGAATCAAAATTTCAGTGTGAAGGGGGCTGTCTATGCACAAATGCCTACACACACACGTACACATGTGCAGGTGTATACCTTTCCTTGCCTAGGATTGGAAATGACTTTTCTAAGGATGCTGGAAGAGGGGAATACTACAATCTCTAGGTAGTGCTTGGAAATATCCCGAAGTGTTAGTCTGAGACAAACATTCCAATGGCTGGAAAATATATTTATTCCAGGCCAAGATATTTTGGAAAATCTGTTTCTTACTGAACACTCTAAATATACAGTGGTGCCTCGCTTAGCGATGTTAATTCATTCCAAAAAAATTGCTGCTAAGCGATTTCATCGCTAAGCGAAATGCGGTTTCCCATTGAAATGTACTGAAAACTGGATAATCCGTTCCAATAGGAACGAATTGCCTTCCGTAAGCGAAAATCGCCATAGGAAACATCGCTAAGCGAAACGCGGTTCCCCAATTGCAATGCATTGAAACCTATTCAATGCATCTCAATGGGGGAAAAATACAACAACAAATTAAAAAAGAGTCAGAACAAAGTCAAATTTGGTTAACAAAGGGTTTATTAAGTGCACTTTATGATTTCAAACATTTTAAACAGTAAACTTTATAAATAACAGAAAAACATTTAAAAAACAGCAAACACGAGGCTGTTTAAACCATCGTTAAGCGAAACAGGGGACCCAAAATTTAATTGCTATGCGAAGCATGGTCCCAACCATAACTAAGTGAAAATTGGCCATAGGGACCATCACTAAACGAAGTGCAAAAACGCTCCGAAAAAGTCGTCGCTAAGTGATTTCATCGCTAAACGGAGCGCCCGTTAAGCGAGGCACCACTGTATCAACATATGCATATAGCAAATGGGATATTAAGAGTATGTTACAAAGTATATCATCTCAAGCTAAATGTATAATAATAATAACAACTATGTACCATCAAGCCAATTCTGACTGTTTTCCAGGTAGAGAATACTCAGAAATGGTTTACCATGCCCTTCTTCTGGGAGCATCCTGGGACTGTGCAGCTTGCCCAAGGCTACATAGACCAATTCTGACCCTTTTTCAGGTAGAGAATACTCAGAATTGGTTTACCATGCCCTTCTTCTGGGAGCATCCTGGGACTGTGCAGCTTGCCCAAGGCTACATAGGCTGTCTCTTCTGGGATGCCCACTGGGGGAATTGAACTCCCAACCTCTGGCTCTGCAGCCAGGTGCTTAATTCATTGAGCTATCTAAGCAGTTAAATGAATACTTGACAAAAATGAGAGCTATAAAGCTGTATCAAAAGAGTAGCATCTGATAAAGTCAAATTGTATTAGGAAATACAGTAATTCTTACACCAAGAACTGTCAGAAAGTAAGCAGTTTGAAAGCTCTCTAAAATACTAATTTTAAAACACTGAAGCATCTCAATTGCCCAAACAAAACAAAACAAACAAAAAAGAACCAGTCAGTTGCTTCCAACAGCATGGGCATGAAATTTTGTAGCTATTCTTTCTCAAATAAGCTTTTGAAATGAAATGTTTGTCTTAGCTAAAAACAATTGCCTGTGCCGTCAGATGCCACCAATAAAACAAAATGCTGGAGAGAAAAAATGTCTAGTAGGTATAATATTTATAGTTAGTAAAATGGGAAAAAATGGTATCAGCCCTTACTAGTGTACAGCCCCCCCAAAAAAACCTTGTAGTTTTGAATTCTAAAAGAGGTAGGTGGAACATACAGAGGTACGATAAAGAGGACAGCAAAAAATCTGCTTAGAAATCTGCATTGCCATAGGAAAGTGAGGGAATGTATTTCCTATTTGTGGTCTTTTGGTGTTAAACTGTATAGGCAGCTTCCTCCTTATCAGCAGCTTGACTGTCTCTTGCTGTACTTTTCCAGTAGCACACATCAGGAATGGTAGGCAACCTTCTATAAAATGTACCACCATTTACCTTTACAAATGCTGCTGATAAGATTCCCCTCCACATATTTTCAACCCTGTTGGACAGCCCATAGGAGTGTTGTACCTCTGAATGCACCACAGTTTGTTCAGTCCCATTGATTATGGGTTCTATATATTTCTTTTGAAATTATAAGCTGTAGTACTCTGTGGTTTCTGTCATGAAGTGTTCCATGTGAGAAGGCAGTGCTTTGAAAAGATTCATAGGAGAACACATTCACACATCGATTTGAGCTGATCTGAAAGATTCTATTTTGGTTGCTTTTTTTTGCTGCAATATCTCTTCCCTCCAGAAAAAGTTAAAAAAGCTTCATGCTGCTTGTACACAAGCCAAGGGCAAGACTAGGTGACACCTTTCTTAGAGCATTCAAAAAATCACAAAGCGATGCTTGTTTTCGATGCAGCCTGATAAAGGACTGTAGAGGTCAAAAGGTAGTGTTCGTTTGCCCTTTTCTAGCTTTCTTGTAAGGTATCATTTACCTTGCCTTAGTGAGAAGGTTTTTTTAAATAACATCTGAACTTTACTATTAAAATTTCACAGTTTTCTGTTTTCTACAGTTGTATCTTTTATTTTTATTAATTTTGTTACATACTTTGCTTTGCACTTTAGCAAAAAGGTTCTCTGTTATATCGATTACTGAATTTTTGTTTATTATTTGTTTAATATGAAAATATGAGAATGTCAGTTCAAGTTTATTGTATTGGCTAAAAGCCATCACAGTTGTTTAAATACAGAAATGGTAAAATAAAAACATGATAAAAGCTGTCGCAATTGTTTAAAATACAGAAATGGTCAAATAAAATCATGATAAAATCAAAGACATATAAAATAATAAGAGATCCTTCATATCTGGGAATCTCCCACACAATTGATCGCAGTGGCTTTCAGAAAATTAGCTCGAATATTTCTGGCCACTTTTGCGAACAGCGTTGTTCTATGTGTAGCATAAGGGTCACAGTCCAAGAGTAACCTGACCACCTTTATCTGAGGGCTACCCTTGAGTGGTTTGTTTTCAACAGATGGTACCAGTGGAAGAAACCTGAAGAGTGGATTAAGGCCAGGTCCTGGTCGTTATCCAGTTTATAGAGCCAATCTCAACATTCTTTTAACTCCAGAAAAGATGAAAATGTCTGTAGAGAGGGATTTAGATTTTAGTAGGTTTTGAGCTAAAGTTGCCCAGCCGCCACTCTTCCATTGCCCTATCAAATATGAGAATGTATTCTACTTGTTTTGTTAATATTGTCCCATTTTCTGTGTGCATTGTTTATAACGCTCCTGATGAAGGGTTTTTGTTTGTTGTTTGTTTTTTGTCTCTCTAAACATTTGGGCCTGAAATATATATATTTTCTAGCATCTGGGTGCCCCCCACCCTCACTCCATTCTGCTGGTAATCCTCCCAGGGGCAAAACAAATTTGCTGCTTAGGAGGGTGTCCAGATTTTTTAAAGAGAGAGAGAGAGAGAGAGAGACCCTGTTCTTTCTTTTTAATCTGGTGACCCAATGCCTAGGGCAAAATGCAAGCAGGAGCCCTCTAGCTGCTCCCCCAGCTCTACAAAAATAAATAGACTAAACTGGGCATTGACTCCCACTACTAATGATAAAGGGGGAGAGCACACCAGAGGGCACATCCAGAGCTGTGTTTTCCCAGCATCCCTTCTCTGCTGCTCTCTGCCTCCCAGAACCTGCTTCCTGAGACCACCACCCACTGTCTCTGATTGTGTAAGCTTTGCCACAGGGTGTCTTTGCCCTGAAATCAGGTGGGCAACACATAGACCAGGTAGGTCTCTCTGCACATTTTTTTTACCTCAGAGGGTCCACTGTAAGTGCCGACGGCAATTTTGCTGTTGAAATTTAGCAATGCAGAGGCCATGGGAGTGGCGATTTCACTTTAAAGTGTTCTGTTTTAGCTTAAACAAGGTAGCTGCTCCCAGTGCATCTTGTTTACAAGCAGATTTATTCTTCTGGGACTGCATGTCCTTCTCTTTGTAAAGCACATGGGGGACAAACACCTTGCTTTTTCCCCCTCCCCTGGTAGCACTGAATTTCAGCACCAGAATATAGGGTGCAGCCCCTGTGAGCTCAAGGGTGGGTTGGACTGATCCCTGGGGCTGCAGGGATTACCTTTCTCCCCACCCACACCCCATTTTCTAATAGGCCAGAGTCTTTTAAATTAATGGCCTGCACCTGTAAGATACGGGCCAGCTTCCTGCTTGCAGTGCTGGGCTGAGTGCCATTCCAGGCACATCCTTTGGAGGCCAGTTTGCAAGTCCCGTGTAGCCTCTTGAAGAGCTGTGATTAGTGCTTTATCCTGGGAAAGGCTGGGATTTCTGTTGGGAAGCAGTGAGTCTTCTCTCTCTCTCTCTCTCTCTCTCTCTCTCTCTTTCACACACACACACACACACACACACACACACACACACACACACAGAGGGAGGGAGGGAGGGAGAGAGAGAGAGAGAGAAGAGAGAAGGTGTGTATTGTCAACCTTCACTCTGTTCTGTTTTTTTCCCCTAGTGCACACCACTGACCCTACCCGTATGGAGCTGGTCATCCCAGGCGAGCAGTACTTCTACCTGAAGGCTAGAGGTGCTGCAGAAAGACAGAAATGGCTGGTGGCTTTGGGCAGCTCCAAGGCCTGCCTTGGGGACAGCAGGAGCCAGAAAGAGAAAGGTTGGTTCTTTGGAAATGACTATATGCTAAGGAGACGGTAGAGAGTTTGGGAAACCCAAGGTCTGAAAGAGATGGCGTTGTGAGGCTGGGATTCGGGAGGGTGTTGGCATTATTGCTGGCAAGTTGTTGGGTGGGGACTCTAGCAAGTTGGGATTACAACGAGGTGCCTTGCTGTCCCACCTCCTTTGCAAACATGCTGGGCATGTTTAGCCCTTTAAGATGGCTTGACCTTATCTGAGCCGATAGCTTTTGCCACTCCATGGGTCCTTAATCACTCCGCCTCTGGCCACAGCTCTCTTTGTAGCCCCTTGTTTAGCACTGAATTGTAAACCAGCTTGTAGGAGAAAAGCAAATGTAAATAACAGGCTTTTAATAATTGAGTCTTGCACACTGCTTTTTAGCTTAGCCAGTATGTTTTTAAAGTTGTAAATGTTTGTAATCATTTAACTTTTTTTCAGTAGTTATTATTATGGTTTAATTCCTTTTCAATGCATAATTTGTTGTGTTTTTAATCCTACTTGTTTCAACATTGTGAGCTGCCTTGAGTCTCTCTCTCTCTCTCATTGGGAGAAAGAAGGCCTACAAATGACAGTAATTAATTAATGATGCTTATTTATTTATTTATGAATGCATATCTTGCCCATCTAAGACCTATGTGCCTGCTACTCAAAGTACATCATAATGGCTTAAACTGACCATATTTTCATGGCTATTTCTTCTTCTTCTTCCCTCATAGACATTTCCCTATATTTCTTTATCTCTGTGTACTTCAGAGTTCCCTCCTCTCTTTTTCTTCTTTTCTGTCACTTTCCTCATCTTCATTCCTTGCTGAAAAGAGAAAATGAGGTTCTTGTTTTCACAAGAGTTCGTGTCAGTGGAGCATCACTGTAGGCATAGGATTTTCCTTTCATTTGGAGTGCTGCTCCCAAAATTCAACAGGACTTCCCCCAGGCCGAAATCTGGGAGATGCAGCCAAAACCAAAAATCCACATAGTACCTGCCCTTATTCATGTACCATGTTTCCAGTGCTATTTTGCTCATTTCAGCAAGAAGGAAACGGCCCAGTGTTCTCTGGGAGGGACAGTGCTTCATTGGAGGGGTCGTCTTGCTGCCCATTAGGCTCTATATAGCAAGTCTGGATGTTTGTAGCTCCACCCTGGTTCTTATGGCAATCCGTGTTTCTGCTTACGAATTTTTCCCTCTACGTAACATCCTGTAGAATGCATTGATTTCATAAACCGAGATATGCCTGTATTTGTTGGGTGTCCTGAACCTTCAGGATTTATTTAATTTATTTATTTAAAATATTTTTAATCCCATTTTTCTCCTTAAAAACAGAAAATGAGGTTCTTGTTTGTTAAATATTTTTCTTTTAATAATGTCAGGCCCAAGATGACTTACATTATTAAAAGACAACATTTAAAAGTTAAAAATGGCAAGTATGCAGCTATTAAAAAGAAACAAATGCCACATTAAAAATAGTAAAGAAAATCAATACCAAAAAAAGATTCAAAGTAACAGGGTATATAATATGCCATTTAAAACCCCATCTCAGATAGGGTCCCGATCACTAAGGAAAAGCTTATTTGAAGAGAAAGGTCTGCAGAAGGACAGCAAAAGTCTGCAGAAGGAGAGCAAAAATGGGGCCAGCTGAACACACTGTGAAAGGGGGTTCCAGAGTCTGAGTGCGAGCACCCTGTGAAAGGGGGTTCCAGAGTCTGAGTGCACCAACATACCTCTGAATGTGGTGGGACTGAGAGAAAGGCTTCTCATTATTTTAACATTACTATTTAACAGGCTCATAATGGGAGATGCGATCTTTGAGATAGCTTGGACCCAAACTGTTGTGTGTGGAGTTTTTGTTAAGTGTCACTGTTTAATTGTGTTGTAAATTGCCCAGAGTGGCCTTGCCTGGGCAATTCAAATTTTATACCACATGGGTGGTATAAAAGTTGAATAAATAAATAAAATAGGGCTTTACAGGTTAAAACCAGCAACCACTGGAGCTGGTGTAACAGGGAGGTTATTTGATCGCTCTAACCAGTCCCAGTTAATAATCTGGCTGCAGTATTTTAGACCGACTGAGGTTTCCAAACCCTTTCCAAAGACAGTTCCATGTAATGCATGTTACAGTAATCCAGCTGGGAGTAACTAAGGCGTGTGTCGCCATGGCCAGATCAGACCTCTTGAACAGGAAAAATGCAATGAGCTAGCATACTTTGAATGAAAATGAAGCATTTTGATGATGGTTATGTTTTTCAGGGTTACAGTAGTTCCACTAAAAAAGCTTTCCCTTTTGAAATCTGTGAAAATCCACTAGGAGGTGTTAATGGTACATGGAGCGAAATCCTTTGTCCTCTCAGTTGGAACAGACATCATTTCTTCCAAGAGTTCCAGTTGGCAAAAATGCTGTGCCATGTTTCTGTATCCCAAACATTTTAGCACATTGTCCTTGCTTTCTGCTCTAAACCAGAATTTCTTTGCACTCATCTGTTAACCAAGGCTCTGTTCTTCCCTAAGTAGAGGGAAGAGTGTCTCCCTATATGTGGTATTAAATTTCCTGTGATTGCTTGTGTAAACCTGTGTTTTGCTGCACTTGCTTGTCCTCCTCAGATCTGGACCTGAGCCAGGAGTCCCTTGGGAGGAAACTGTCTGAACTGCGTCTGTATTGCGATGTTCTAACCCAGCAAGTCTTAGCTGTACAGGATGCGACACACCCTCAAGACAACGGCTCTCCTCTTGACATTCAGGTGGGAGCAGCTTGCAAAAGCAAACATCTACTATATGTGTGCATCCATGAGTAACAGAACAGAGAAAATTTCTCTCCTGGATGTATCCCCATAAGGTAGAGATGGTCTACCTCTGGTCACTGGAGGGAATCCCTAGGGAGCACATCCAATAATTGTGCCAACTCTTTGAGTTAAGGAAAACAGTATGGCCCATAATCCAGATTTCCAAAGACCCTTAATTATGTCCATAGATACTTGGAACTAAGTTGCACCTTGATGAAGTGGTTAAATGGAGGAAGGATGGAGGCTTCTCGTCTTTGGAATAGCCTCCCTCCTGAGATTCGCATGGCCCCTTCCCTGGGCAACTTCAAATGGCAACTGAAAACCTGGCTGTTGAAGCAAGCCTTTCCTCCATCCACTGTCTGATTTTGTTTTTTATGCTTTCTCCCTTCTGGATCACTGTGTTTTTTAGTAATATATTGTTAATATTTTAAACTGTATTTGCTATATATGTTGTTACCTGCCCAGAGTAGTCGGTATGACTAGATGGGCGGGCTATAAATGAAATAAATAAATAAATAAATAAATATTTTGAACATATTAGCATTCCAATGCTAATATATTCATTCACGCTAGAAGACTGCCTAGAACTGTGTCTCTGAGGAGTTACCTCAGGAGATAGGCATTGGTTCCTGTTCATCCTTTTTTCCTGTTCTTGGCTTCCCTCAGAAGATGAATGAAGCCTCCTCTTTGTTGAGGGCAACTTGCAGCCAATTCATCTCCACCCTCGAAGACTGTATGAAATTTGCAAACACTCGTCTGGCTCCTGAGCTGTACCAGCCTTCGGCAGCTTCCCAGCCTTCAGATTTTGTAGGCACCAAGTTGCCACATTCCCACCGGGTGAGTCTGTTCCTTCATTTTTCACTTTTATGTTCTTTATGTTCCCTCTTTACATACCTATAATACCCCTGGAAAAAGGAAGTCACCATTGTGTTGCCACTACACCCTTCTTGACAGAACCTCCTGGAACAGTGATACTCATGAGAGAGCATTTTAAAACACATTTTCCCCAACATGCAGGTTTGGTATTATTTTTGTGTATGCCATGAGAAGTATATATAAAAATAATACCAGAATGATGTAGAAGTGCTGTCTGGATATATCACTCACTGGTTTAGGTATCTGGCTATGGAGCCAGAGGTTAGAAGTTCGATTCTCCACCCTGCCTCCTGGGAGAAAAGCCAGCCTGGGTGGCCTTTGGCAAGCTGCACAGTCCCAGGGTGTCCCCTGAAGAAAGGAATGCTAAACCACTTCTGAATATTTTCTACCTGGAAATCTCTGGAAATGACCTGATGGTACATTCGGTACATTGTTGTTATTTGTAGCAGTAGTAGTAGTAAGATTGTAGACTGCAAAAAGCCATGACATCTGAACCTTTCCTGTATCCCATATAAATGGCATATATTACATATATTCTTATGTTTGTATATTCTTATTAACAAGCAATTTTGATAGGTGAAATCTCATATATATATTTATTTGACTTTGCTTCATAATTCTGAAAAAGAAAACAAAACTCAAATGAGGCCATTACTGCTTAGTTTCAAAACAAAGGATGTTCACAAGCCACTGACTGAAATCCTGTTGCTTAGTATAGTAATTTGCAGTAGAGTAGGCGCATTGAATTATTGGGGGTTTCATGAGACAGCTCCTTAATGAGTTCCATTGATTCAAATGAGCCTACTCTGGTTGTAACTTACTATACTAGGCAATAGGATTTCAGCCTGTGTGCCTTTAAGTAAGGGCTGAGGAGCATTTTGCTTTTTTTGTTGTTTTTTTGGGGGGGGATGATAGTGGGGCTCTAGCTCTTCTCAGCCCCAGCCTCTGTGGCCAATAGCCAGGGATGCTGGTAACTGTAGTACAGCAATATCCGCTGGGCCACATGTCCTGTCAGGCACATTTCTCCCAGCATATTTCAGGTTTTAAAAGAATTACCACTACCTTGATATGGGCCTAGAAGGTAATCATGTACAGCAATCTACATTTATTCAAATACAGCCATGTCATCTTCTTCTGGTTGCTGCACAATGGTGGGGGCACAGGGTTTCACTTAACTGGGGCTTATTTTGGGGATAGGGCTTATATTATGAGCATCCTGACAAATCATACTAGGTCTTATTTTCAGGTTAGGTCTTACTTTCAGGGAAACAGGATATATCATAGGCTTTGCCAACTTGGCGACCTGTATTGGACTACAGGGCTTCCCTGACCAGCACAGCCAGTATTCAAAGCTGGGAGCTATAGTCAACTGTAAATTTGTGAAGACCTCTCCTCATTACTCCAATTTGAGAATGATGCCATATCATGTGGTGGCTGAGATCTGGTTGAACAGAGTTCACCTGTGAACTGAGAAGTGACCTCAGCCATCGGGGTGCTACAAAATAAAGAATTATTTTTGTGACTTTTGGGTACACACAACTGAATTACAGTATGTGCAAGGTGTGTACATCCCAGAATTGCAAAAGGAAAACTTTAGTTGACAGCAGTCTGTCACTGAGCTGGGCAACAGTATTTCAGCCATAGTTTCTGAGGGTGCCTTCTTACTTCTGTCTGACATGCCGTTACTGACTTATTTGCACTCAGTTGGCCTAGAAACTGGGCCTTGGGTTATCTTTGCTATTCTAAAGCCACATCCTGTGGCACCGTCAGCCATACAAGAAAAACTGAGGAAGGTGAAACTAGAGATCAGCTCCAATAGGTCAGGCTAATTTCCTGAGAAGAAGTGAAGATTCTTGTCCAACAAGGCTGTGTAATTGTGAACATAGAACAAGAGCTGCTAGTTATTCCCTGTGTAGTAGAGGATGGAATAACAGACTGTTGCTTTGTGTGCATTATGTTTGTGCCCTCATTGCTGCATTATTGTCTCCCCCATCACCTGCTTTAGGTAAGACGCTCTATGAGCCACACAGGCATAGTTTCCTCAGACAGGTAAGCACCCATGACCCAGGAATCTTTCCCCCCCCCTTTTTCTTTTGAGGTTGGGGCAGTGATGGATAAGTGTCCCCTGACTCATCTTAGGATTTGTTAGTTTTCCCAGAGAATGCTCGGAAAAATGGGAAATTACTTTGTGACGTCTTCCATTGGATGAATGCACGCCTTCTTTTCTACCAACCCTCCCCCTAAGAAAAAATATATGAGCTCTTGAAAAGGAGGTGGGGAAACTAAAGTCAGGGATAGCCCAGCAGAGGCATTTCAGAGTAAAGCCCGCAAAGCCTTGATCCGGTCTTCCCTGATGCTTCTAGTCCCACTTTCTCAAATGTATGGCATTGGGAAGGAACTGGGGACTAGCGCTTGGCTTGGCCAAGCCCTGTTATAAGGCAGCCCCGCATTTGGGTGGGTGGATTTGGTTTGTCAAAAGGTGTGAAACCTTTCCAAATATTTACATATTCTCAACTCCCTGACTTCTGCATTGCCAATTTGCAGTTAGTATTCTGATGGCTCTGTGCCCTGATCTGATCAGTAAGAAACCTTCTGTTCCATACTGGTGCAATCTGATTTCCAGCCTCCTTTTTTTTTTCCAGCTAAGGAGAGGTTGGGGAGAAAATGCATCTTGTTTTTTATTATTTTTTAAAGAGAATTAGAATTGCTGGATAGCTCAGTGGTTTAGGTCTCTTGTTGCAGAGTCAGAGGTGGGGAGTCAAGTTCCCCACTGTGCCTCCTTGATAGGAGATGGACTTGATGATCTATTGGGTCCCTTCCAACTCTGCAGTTCTAAGAGGATGATGATGATAATAATTAGTCTGGAAGCTATGTATCTTATGGAAGACGATCAGACGACTTTATTTGGCATAAGCCATCCTCCCTTCACTTCAACACAGTCCTTTCTCTGTTTAAGGAGAAGTAGACTGTGGATGTTTTAGAGCTGCTGCCTTACTGCTGTGTCACCACTGAAATCTCCTTTTGCAGAGCTTTGGAGCCAGCCCGGGTCGCGCCCAAAGGCACCACGACTGTGCTGCACAACTTGGAGGAGATGGTGGTGTTGCGCTCTCAGCAGTGGGGGCAAATGGGAGCCCAATCTGAAAGCCCCACTGGCATCATAAGTGAAGAAACAGTTGGTAGGTATCACTCTGACAAATAAGTCTATAAGGTTAACTTAAGTAGCTTTGGGTCCTTTTAAGGAGTAAGGTGGGTTTCAAAAATATTGTAAATAAATAAATAAAATAAAAACTTTGGAAGAAAAAAGCGGCAAGTTGGCAAGAAGGCTGATTTACCTCTGGTCTCTGAAGAAGAAGTGGGGGTTTGGCATCCCATTGCTTTTTTCCCATCAAAGTCCACTTAGAGACTTGACGAGATGGGTGTTATCCAACTGGTGTCAAGGAAATGTTAGCAAAGCTGCTACATCTGTGCCAAATGTAGTGCTGATCTGTGGTCCAAATTCAAAGTTCTAATTTTTTTATTTGGGGCCTCGTATATTTTGACTTGCCTTATGGAATCCTGAATTGTGCTGTTGCACAATATCTATTGCTACATGTCTGTGCAGCAATAGTAAGAAAGGCCTAGGAACACTGGACTGGGAGATAGAGACCTAGAGAGCTTGTTGTGGGGTTTTTTTAAGCAGTAGCCCTGCATTTCCTGTTATCTCTCACTTCATCAACACAATTGTTGCAGAAGCTGCTGAAATGACATTTTTAAATAATTGCAGATGGATATTGCAGAGACCTACTGATGCATTTGTGTTTCTGTAATATACTGGGCAGAGTATTTGTAATGCAGAAATACAATCTGAGTGGCACATCCTACATAGGATATTTTTTGCTGTGGAGAGTGGGACATGAGTGTATCATTCCCTTTCTTTAAAAAAAACTTCATTTGTTCATAGGAAAGCATAGATTCACAAGTTAAGCAAATGAAAGAGCCCTATTATAAGATACTCGTTGAATTAAAAATGGTCCTTTTCCATTGTATTTGCTGCATTAAATATATTCAGAAGGTGGGTGGCAAGGCACAAAGTTTAAAAAAAAGAGTATCAAGACTACACCTGGAGCTGCTGATGAAATCATCCCTTTTCTTTGATACTGTTAATGCTCTAATGCAGGTATTTAAAAATGCAATATTTTCCAAATATTTTCTAATCATGAGTAGCACTTGTATATTACAAGAACTTTTCCAGTTTTGGAAAAGTTCTTGTAATATACAAGTGGAACACAGAGGCAACCTTAGGTAAAGGTAAAGTTTACCTTGACTATTGTCCAGTCATGTCCGACTCTAGGGTGCAGTCTTCATTCCCGTTTCCAAGCCATAGAGCCAGTGTTTGTCCGAAGACAGTTTCCATGGGTATATGGTCAGCGTGACTAGACACAGAACGCCATTACCTTCCCACCATGGTGATACCTATGTATCTACTTGCATATCTACTGCTTTCGAACTGCTAGGTTGGGAGGAGCAGGGACAATCGTGTGGATTCGAACTGCTGGTCCCTTAGAGGCAACCTTACTGACCAACAAAATTAAGTCCAAAATTACACATTACGGTGATACCTGTATTAGGCCAAAGTTCTGTGCAGATCTTCAGGGTCACTTGTCCCTTCCTCAGGCCTGGTTTTACAAAAGGGGGGAGAGGAAAGAGAAGGAGTAAAAGACCAAAAACCTATAACCTCATCTGTCCCAGTTCTGATGGGGAAGTTGAAGAACAGCAGATACTCAAGTGTGACTCTTTCATGAGACCTCCCACTGGTGTTGAATTGCAGCACAAAGTAGCTGATTTCCTGGCTGAGAACATAGAACTAGGGATAATTCAGATCCTCCACTGTTGCAAAAATCAAGTTCAGCTGTGGATTTCGGCCTGTCTCTATCCGTCTAACACTCATGGCTTGTTAGTAGCTGGAGATCAGGCATCCATTAGGCAGTATGACTGAGGATGACACTGTATTGGTTAAAAAAAATGCAAAATGCTCCAGGATTAGGATGGGCCGATTCACATTTTTCCCCCTGTGGATCACATGATGCAAAAGGAAATGCAAATCAGCCCTGAATTTTGTTCTTAATCTATTATAAATCTATTGTAACCATAGTCAGGTTTCCCAGATTGACTATGACTGACATACTTATAAATGTCAATCATAGTCAATCTGGGAAACCTGACTATGGTTACAATTTCCTGTTTGTTTTGCCCCACAGCTGTGGATGAGGAGCAGGGCCCATCTAGGAAGCAAGGGCTCTAATTAGAACTGCAGGATCTCTCATATCCAGTTTCTTTTCCCTTTTCTCTGCAGATCCTCCATCGTCAAAGCAAGACTCTCAAGTGGATTCAGCTGGCAGTGGCCAACAACTCTAATCGGGATTTGGGGGCTGCCCCAACTCACGTTGGACTGTTGGGAGCAGAGTCGTTATTGCTTGCTCCCGGCTAGCTAGAACAGCTGCCCTAAAGTTCCCTGTAGGGTAGGAATAGCCTGGGCCTGTAGGATGTGTGGCTGGATGCATCCTGTGAGGCTGGTGGGCATGATGGATGGCAAGGAGTTGGTGCCAGGATCTGTTCTGTTCTTCAGTCTTGTGGTTGCCAGGTATGGAGAAATGCTGCCCAATCCGTCGAGGCCGTTCCTTACTGAGAACAGGATGTGTTGGGAAGAGAGAATAGTCTCCCAACTCTTCATGCTGGCTTAGGTGGGAAAGAAGCCTTGGTCTTGAGTAAAAGAAGAAAGTGTGGGTGGCTTAAGAGGCAAACGTTCTCCAGACATCTCCTGGTGCCCTCCCCAACGTTCTCCTGCTCCCATTAAAGCCAAGCCTGGAGACTTCTGGCCTGTGGCAGATGCAGAATATCTTCTTGTTCCTCCTCAAGTTGAGTTCTGCACACGGTTCCTCCTCCATCATTGCTTTCCTCCTGACAGACTTGGGGAGCGGATAGCCCCCTCCCTAGTGATTGGATCAGAAAGCTTTTTGGCCAGGGTTCAGATCTAGTTGCAGGCATCTTCCAGGAAGGACCTTTGTGTGAAGTCATCAGCCCTCTTCTTTCCTCCAAGCCCCTTGTCCTCCTAACATAGCTTCAGTCCAGAGTTAGGTCTCCTGGATGTAGATACCCACCCGGGCTCTCCTGACTTCTCTTTAGCCCTTTGCCTTGGGCCTGTGTGGCAGAAGTCCGAAGTAGGAAAACCAACCTCTTTGGACACTGGACTGTTGACTCCTCTCCCTGTATGTCACTGGGTCACAACTCCCAACGTTTTGTACAGGAGTGAAGTCTTTGTCTTGTTGAATTGTCTTATCTTTTTTTTTAAAAAAAACAGACGCATGGCAGGTTTTGTTCCTGTGAGTGTATGTGAGTGATATTCCTTCTCTGGCACCCATTCATTGTGGAGAGCCCTGCCAAAGATCAACCTCTAATTTTGAATGAAGACTCTAATTTTTGAAACAAGCAGGGCATCATGGTTATCTGTTGATTTCTCAGTGGCATAGAAGGAGGCATCTTTTTTGGGGGGGGGGCTCTGCAAGAAGTCAAGCCAAAAACAAAACCGCTGTCGTTCACCTAGCTGCTTGATGGAGCTGAAGCAAACCAGGCGATTGGCTGTGCTGTCTTGCCTCCTACACAGCCGACAGAATCCGTGTTCACAGACACCTGCAAATGTTTCCTCTCTGGATTGATGAACAGGTGGCTGTGGTTTTATATAAATACAGTACTGGTTGCATCACTGAAACCCAATCCGGAATGGGGCTGCAGGTGACTCATAATGGTAGAAATGTACCAGGAAACCGCTAGGAACTATTTCTGGCTCTCTTCTTGCTCTTTGCTTTTCTACCTCTCCTACACGATAGCTTTCAGGGTTTCCATGTGTGTGTTCTTATATTGAGTATTTCATAGATCTTAAGAGTGCAGGGGTTGAGTTTTGATGGCAGCTCAAGGTGACACAATGTACCTTCTGTGGCTTCCTCAGATTCAGAGAAAGCGAATAAGGCCCCCTGTCTCTCTTCAGGAGAGGAAGAAGTCTAGAGTTAGCACCTTTGTTCAACCCCCCCATTCCCGCCCCCTTTTTTTGCATTGTGCTTTGATATCGGGAATTACAGAACAGCGTGTGGGCCCCTCATCACTGTCCCAGTGTTACCTTGCCAAAAAAAATGTGCTAGAAAGAGAGAGAATTCCTCTACAATAAGTGCCCCAGTTCTAGCAGTTGGTAGGGAGGGAAAATTACACATTTCGCCAGGAAGGGTTGGTGCAGTCCATAGCAGATCTAGGTGTGGTGGGAAATGATTCCCAGCCTCTCTGCTGTTGCCTATGTGTGATGTAAAATATCTTCACATTATACAAGGTCCTTATGGTGTTTTGTGAGCCTGTAACTGTAAGTGACGGAGTAAAGCTTCAGATGATTGCTTTGTGAGGGCACACATTTTGGTTTAATGTGGAAAAGGGATAAGGACTGGTATTTCATAATTATTATGAAGAATAACTTCTGGCAATTAAGTTTGAATTTACTTTTTCTGTGTCTTGGAAAGAGACTATAATACTGTACTAAAGTCCCAGTATTATAGAGTATTACGAAAATTTACCTGTATTTCATTTTATACAAAGGCAAATGATTGCTCAATTAAGATAATACACTTAATTCCTACTTACAGTCAATCCATGGCAGAGCATGCTGAATGCCTGGGACATGCTCCTATTTAAGGATGCATGGGACAGCAGCCATGATGGTGTTAATCCAGCTAATACTGAAAGCAATGTTGTACCTAACTTATTCCATAAATTTTGACAGGTTCGACAGCCTGATCTTATCCATCTTTACTCTGAAGTAAGTCACATTGATTTAAGTGACCCTTGCTGCCAGTTTCATATGCATAGGATTTCAACCTAAGTCACAACTAATTTAGGATCTGGTAGTTAATATCTTGGGGACATGGTGGCGCTGTGGGTTAAACCGCAGAAGCCTCTGTGCTGCAAGGTCAGAAGACCATCAGTCATAAGATCAAATCCACACAACAGAGTGAGTCCCAGCTCCTGTTGACATAGCAGTTTGAAAGCATGTAGAAATGCGAGTAGATAAAGAGGTACCACCACAGTGGGAAGGTAACGGTGTTCCGTGTCTAGTCGCGCTAGCCACATGACCACGAAAACTGTCTATGGACAAACGCTGGCTCTACGGCTTGGAGACGGGGATGAGCACCGACCCCTAGAGTTGGACACAACTGGACTAAAATGTCAAGGGGAACCTCTACCTTAGTTGATATCTCAGCCAGTATAACAAATTCAAAGAGCATATGGATAACTTATATACTATCTGAATTTGCTATGGAGTGGAACACTAGGGTGCCCATGTAGGATTTGTGTAACTTGCCATGGTTAATAGCAGTAGACTGATGGGCCTGCGGGCAGAACCTCTGAGTTGGATCTGTGTTGTAGACTGGACTGAGCAATACAGGGTGTCTGCAAACAGTGGAGCTCTCTGCACACACAGAAAGATTTACAGAGCAGTCCTAAATCCTTTGCACAGCTGTTGAATCTGTTCTTAATTTTTATACAGAAATAGTAATTTCTACTATAGATGATTAGTAGAAGTTTAATAAATGTGCTGTGTAATATACCTCACCATAGCTGGAGATTTGGGGCAGGTGACAGCTGCTTCTCAGGCTGCTGTCCAAGTGCTGACCATGGAGTTGCAACTTCAGGGTATCTCCCTGTTCTCCCTCCTTTATCTGTTAACAGAGAGTGGATTCAATGGCGGGCTTTTCTTTATAAAGCAAGACAGACTTTTATCTTGAAAGGAGACATGGAGAATGCAGAAAGTGTGAATATCAGGGTAAAGAAAATTGAAGCTTTGTTGCTGCTCTCGAAGGCGCAACATATGCAGTGTGTAGTGCTATGTATTAATCGTTCATGGCATGCAGTTGTGGACTTTAAAACAGGCTATTGTTTTTTAAAAAAGAAAAGCATGTCAATTTGTCACGGAGTGCTAAAAATGTCCTGAACTGAGGGGGTGGCCTGCAAATAAGTATTAAGTCAACAGAACAAGGACCAAGAAATAAAGCATACTTTGGTCATACAAACAGGAAATGAAATGTGTCAGTTGGAACTGCTTATCATTTAGATGGGAAAAGAAGTACAGGAATTAGAAGAACCTTGTGACTGAAAAATATTAGTGATAATATGGATACGACCCCGGCACCATTGACTGGATCTGCCCCTCCATGTAGGCATCCTTCAGTCTCAAGAGACTATGGTAATGTGCTCTGTATGGAGGTCTTGGAACAGTGTCTAGTGAGGCAGAGAAGGCCAATTCGAGAGTGACAATCTCTTCCACATTGAAGACAAATCCAATCTGTCCCCTGTCCAACTCCCTGGTTTTGCTTGTTTCAGGACTGCCTCTTTGCCTCGGCCTGCTGTACAAGTGTCTCTTCAAATTGGGAGAGGCCATGATGCACCACCTGCCTCCAGGCTGGATGCTCAGACGTCAAGGTTTCCCATCTGTTGAGGTCCATTCCTAAGGCCTTCACATCCCGCTTGCAGATATCCTTGTATTGCAGCTGTGGTCTCCCTCTGGGGTGGCTTCCCTTCACTAATTCTCCATACAGGAGATCTTTTGGAATCCGACCATTCTCATTCTCACGACATGCCGAAGTCAACGTAGATGGTGCTGTTTCAATAATGTATACATGCTGAAAATTCCAGCTCGTTCTAGGACTACTCTATTTGGAACTTTGTCCTGCCAGGTGATACCAAAAATGTGTCGGAGACAACGCATATGGAAGGTGTTCAGCTTCCTCTCCTGCCGTGCATAGAGAGTCCAGGACTCGCTGCAGACCTGGATTTTGGTGTTTGCCGTCAACTTCTTATTAAGCCATACCCTATTGGTGAGTCTTGAGAACATGGTAGCTGCTTTCCCAATGCGTTTATCCAGCTTGACATCTAGGGAGAGAGTGTCAGAGATTGTTGAGCCAAGGTACACAAATTCATGAACAACCTCCAGTTCTTGCATGGAGATAGTAATAGAGGGAGGTGAGTCCACGCCCTGGCACATGACTTGTGTTTTCTTCAGGCTGATAGTTAGTCCAAAGTCTTGGCAGGCCTTGCTAAAATGATTTATGAGTTGTTGGAGGTCTTCAGCAGAGTGGGCAACAATGGCTGCATCATCAGCAAAGAGGAAGTCCCGCATACATTTCATTTGGACTTTGGTCTTCGCTCTCAATCTAGTGAGATTAAAAAGCTTTCCATCTGATCTAGTCCGGAGATAGACACCTTCTGTTGCAGTTCCAAAGGCCTGCTTCAGCATGACAGCAAAGAAGATCCCAAACAGGGTTGGCACAAGGACACAGCCTTGTTTTACTCTGCTTCGGATGTCAAAGGGATCTGATGTTGAGCCATCAAAAACTACAGTGCCCTTCATTTCCTCATGAAAGGACCTGATGATATTAAGGAGTTGAGGTGAACATCCAATCTTGGGAAGTATTTTAAAAAGTCCATCCCTGCTAACCAAGTCAAAGGCCTTTGTGAGATCTATGAAGGCCACAAAGAGTGGCTGTTGTTGTTCCCTGCATTTCTCCTGCAGCTGTCGGAGGGAGAATACCATGTCAGTGGTGGATCTGTTAGCTCGAAAACCACACTGTGATTCTGGATACACTCTGTCTGCAAGCACCTGAAGTCTCTTCAGCACAACACGGGCCAGCAGCTTCCCTACAACGCTGAGAAGAGAGATACCACGGTAGTTATTGCAGTCGCCCCTGTCGCCTTTGTTCTTATACAATGTGACGATGTTTGCGTCCTTCATGTCCTGTGGTACTCCACCTTCTCTCCAGCAAAAACAAAAGAGTTCATACAGCTCAGTGGTGATGATCTCTTTACAACACTTCAAAACTTCAACGGGGATGTTGTCCTTTCCAGGTGCCTTGCCAGAGGCAAGGGAATCCAAGGCTGCTTTTATTTCTGCTAAAGTTGGTTCACTGTCCAGCTCTTCCAAGAGAGGCAGGCACTCAATGTTATTTAGTGCATCTTCCGTTACTACATTCTCTTTAGAATATAGCTCAGAGTAGTGCTGTACCCAGCGTTCCATCTGCTGTGCTCGATCCTGGATGATCACGCCTGTAGTAGACTTCAAGGGAGCAGATTTCTTCTGTATTGGACCTAAAGCCTGCTTGATACCATCATACATTCCCTTGATGTTACCTGTGTCCGCTGCTATCTGTATCTGAGAGCAGAGCTGAAGCCAATAATCATTGGAACATCTCCTGGCAGTCTGTTGGACTTGGCTACGAGCAGCTCGAAGAGCCTGCAAGTTGTACTCACTAGGACAGGCTTTGTATGCTGCTAGAGCTCTCCTCTTATCCTCGATGGCTGGAATCAGCTCCTCTGAATGGGCTTCGAACCAGTCAGCCGTCTTTTTGGTCTTCTTGCCAAATGTGGACAAGGCAGTGTTATAAACAGCGTTCTTGAAGCGTTCCCATCGTTCAGGTGCATTCGCATCAGCCGGGCCTGGAAGGGTTTCCTGAAGCGCTTGGGCAAATTCCTCCACTTTTCTTTGATTGCGAATCTTGTTGATATCTATACGTGGTTTTCCTTCCTTTTTAGTATGATACAATCTCTTTGTTTGCAGTTTTATTCTGCTACACACCAGGGAATGATCAGTGTCACAATCAGCACTCTGGTAACTGCGTGTGATCGTAATACTAGATAAGCTAGAACGTCTAGTGAGGATCAAATCAAGCTGATGCCAATGCTTCGATCTTGGATGTCTCCAGGAAACTTTGTGTTGAGGCTTTGTATTAAAGAATGTGTTGGTGACACAAAGACCATAATAACAGCAAAACTCCAGCAAACGTTGGCCATTTTCATTCATCTTCCCAATGCCAAAACGGCCTAGACAGGTGGGCCAAGAGTTGTGATCAGCACCAACTCTAGCATTAAAGTCTCCGAGAATGAACAGCGGCTCTCTCTCAGGGACGTTTTTGATAGTAGCTGCCAAATCGTCATAGAATTTGTCTTTGACTTCTGTTGTGGATGACAGTGTTGGTGCATATGCACTGATGAGGGTGACCAGTCCCGCTGATGAGTGGAGCTGCAGAGACAGGATTCTTTCACTCCCCACAGTAGAGTCTACTCAGTTCAATGTCGATGGCAGCTGTCTTGCACAAATTGTGTATTTCCTGCAGGTTGTCAGAAAAGCCAGGGGTCATTGTCCGAACATTCCAGGTTCCCAACTTTAGGGCAGATGTTTTCTTTTGATTGTTGCGTGGTGCATGGTTATTGATCTGTTTTTCGGCTCTCCCACCATCAGAAGTAGCCCCTGGC